AATGTGCATTGGTTTAGATTAAAATATCAAATTGAATCTATCTAGACTAGTAAGACTGTAAGACTACCTACACAGTCTACACAGTAAGCACTAATAATATGAATACAAAGGAAATGAAAATAATACTGGTATCAGTTTTAGGAGGGTCTGAATGGGGTTAACTGACTACTGACAAACGTACTTTAAAACGACTGACAACTGACAAGCGGGTCATATTTTTACTGTTTACTGACAAACGAAATATTACTGTTAACTGACAAACTAATATAATGGACCTGCCAAACCAAATGTATGTCATGAAAATCTCATGATATTTTATTTATGTGTGGGATTTGCGTGGTTGTTGGACATTACAGGCAGGTATTGCATCAAAAAATCAAATAGTAGGGTTGTTTAACATATCGAATTAAGTTTAACTGACATATTGAATTCTTAGCTGACAACTGACAGAAGACGAAATTTTTAGCTGATAACTGACATTCAGACCCCCCCCATTCAGACCCTCTTTTAGCTGTGCCAATAAATCGAGTGTAGTGTAAACGGGGTCATTTTTATACCACGATGTCAAATGTTTTGTGTTTTCAGGGTGTTTTCTACTTCTTAGACTACGTTGACACAGCTCCAGAGCGAGAAAGTGACGGCAGAATTTGACTGCGTTTACATGCACTGCTCCGTTTGAATTCCGATACTGTCTCGTTAGCGTTTACAAACAAGCGTTCTTCGCTGTCAACATTCGTAAGTTGTTCGCGGGAAATTGCGCCATTTCTTTTTGAAACATTGCTTGACGTTTATATCTGTAGTCGTGGGTCGCAAAAACAATGAAAATAATACCGCCGATAGCGAGAAAGGTGCTTGTTGATAAATTGTTGGACCAGGAACTGGTCCCTAACCGCTGCTAATCTTGTTGTTGTTGTTGTTATTGTTGTTGTTGTTAGGGGGCGACGCCCTTTAAAAAAACCCTAAGGCTCTAGCATTACTTGTTTGATCGGAATGAAACTTGGCACAATTATTCTAAGCAATATTCCGCATCGATTGACGGAGTTCGAATTTTTACTTTTGACCTTTGAAGCTTTCAAGCAATTCTAGATATATTTGCAGCAAGTAATATATACATATCATTAATATTCAGCCTATATATCATTAATATTCAGCCTATATATAAGTAAACGCAAACGATTAGAAATACATTGTCCTCTCCATTGTTATAAATACAATGCAGTTCAGAAATTAAACTCGGTTACGCAGTTCCTGGTCCTTATAGTACGATCGTACTTGTTAGAGAATTGTGAAATTGAAAATCCGGTGCAGTGTAAACGCAACCCCGTTTTGATACTTTTTTGCACCGTTTTCAGACCGATCCGGAGTAGTGTAAACGTAGTCTTAGACTTACAACAGCTATTAAAGATGATGACCCAGCAATTATGCAGAATTATCATGATATTTTATTACCTCCATATTATATTAATTGTCGTCCATTTAATTTATTTTTTCGTCCATTTCATTTATTTTGACTTTCATCTCAGATTGGGTTTGTTTCATAGCATCAAATTGTTCCTAAATGATACATAAAAATATTTAAACATTGGCATTTATATAACAATTGTAGTTCATCGACGTAAGGTATGTTTTGAGCGAGAAATAAGCACCTTAAAATCAATTAATAGTTATTTTGATGGTTACTACCTACGTGGCGCTATAGTTTACTCTGAAGTAGTATTTAAAACACGAGGAGCATTTTGACAGCAACATCTGGTAATTAACAAATTACACAGAGGGCAATAAAAATCTTGATAAAAATCTAAAAATCTGAATAAAAATTTTTACCTTCATTTCGTCTCGAGTTTTCTTTGTTTTCTCTTCTATGCAATTTTGTCTTCCTTCAATTGTATTCACCTTCTCGTCAATTGTATTCACCTTCTCGTCAATTGTATTCACCTTCTCGTCAATTGTATTCACCTTATCGTCAAGGGAACTTGTCAACGTAATAATTTTTTCATATTTGTTGTCAAGAATATTGAGAATATCAGAATTTTCACATGAAAACCGGTGCCTGTCAATGTCCCTGTGATTGATTTTACGCTTACAGTTGTCGCACGTCTCTGGGCGGTATCCACAATCACCTTCGTGGCTTTCAATATTTTCAAGCTTAAGTTCCTCTGGACACCCTCGATCCTTGTAATCACACCTAATTATCTGTTCTGACAGAAGGTTTCTTAGAATCCTTCCAGGACGTTCTAAAGTGTCCAGTGTAAGGGGCTGCCGACATTTTGGGCACTTTTGATTATCAGCGAGCCATCGCAATATGCAATCATAACAGAACAAATGCTCTTCTCGCTCGCATGATCGTGCGTCCTTTACGAAACAGAAGCAAATACAACATTTGAAATCTGATGTAACTCTATCAACGAAGCGGTCTAGATGGTAACCTTCGTTGGATCCAGCCATTGGTAATATAAATGTTTGATATATCTGAAACATATTTGATATATTTTATTGAAAGTTAAAGAAAGATAACATATTATTTTTGCATGCATCATCACAATAAAAGCGAAAGCGATGTGAATATCGCTGCCATAACAGAAAGTGCATGCTCAATATCGTGCATTCCTGCATATAGATACAGCGAAATACAGGTAATTTGATTAAATATCGTCCACTATGGTCTGTTTCACGAACGCCTTCCACTGTCGCGTTAGAAAGTTTTTAATTTAGAAATTAAAACTTACAAAGATAATTAATTTTATGCCTGAAAAAAGACACCAAATCATCAACAGAATTCAACCCTATGCAACTATTTAATCCTTCATTTCATTAGTATCATTTAAATTATTTTACTGAAACTTTTACGTGCGTATCACGTAATACGTAATTCAGTTTGTAACTCGCTCACGCCATCCTGGCAGGAACTTTTTGATGGGGGTACAAAGTTCCGTGCACACACCATGATAGTGTAGGCTGGCATGAAATGACGTGTGCGAAACCAAAGTGTAAACGTGGCGACCAGTGGAACTATCAAACCTATTATAATCAGTTTCATTTTAGAAAGCGTCGTGGAGTGTCTGCGGTCATTATCAGCGAGGTTTTGAAGGTTTTGCTAATGGTTCTACAGACGTATACTCACTGACCATGCAACTTAAGCGTAACAAAAATTATGAAATTCGACATACCAGAGTTAATACTTGTTTTTAGAGTGAAGTTGGACCATACAAACGCCGTCAATAAGATTTTGTGCCTGAAAAAGCAGTTGATATGTCGTAATGTTTATTGTGTTAAAATCCTTAAAGGAGCCAAGAACATGAATATCAAAACATCTTCACCATCATGCTGCGAAAATTATGTTCATTCATCGACATTTGCATTTTTTGATGTTTTGATGATTAACATAAGATTACAATATATTCTGGAAGCAGCGTGTTCTAACAATTCCACATCAAATGTGGTATAATAAATGTTTAAAATAGACTGAAAACTTCTCGACGTTTCGACAGAAAAGTGTGTTCACACGATCCAATTTGTCGGACCCAATTCATTTCTGACGTATGAAATGTAATCTGTTATTGATAAAGCAGTACTGCATTGGTTTTAGTCGATTTCCTACCCATACACATTGCAAGTCTAGAGACTATAAAACATCAATCAGAAGTAAACTGGATCTTATGAACAGACTTTAAGTTAAGCCAAGGGTCTTCATCAGATGAATTATATGTCAAATTAAAACTATTGAAAAATTATATATTAATGTGGAAATTTCAAGACTTAAACTGCATGCACAGGAAATATAAAAAAAAATTACCAACTGGCAAAAAACCGGGAAATTTTCAAATATTTTTGAAATATTTCCTGCTAAACTCTTGAAATTTCTACACGAAATACAACTTTTTAATAGCTTTAATTTCATATACGGCTCAACATTTGGCGTCAAGTATTTCAGCTCAAAACTCAGAAAAAGTAAAAAGCACTGGCTTCAATTTCCCTCCCAGAGTTATCGCTCCAGTTTGTTTACAGCTTAATGAGCCAGCACTGATGGCCGTCATGAAGGTCAAGAGTTGAAATTAAACCGCCAAAACAACGCCGGCTTTTTAATTTATACACAAATCCATCTCAACTGAGCATGAATATAAGCTTAATGCAAGCATTGACACTCAGATTTTACCATAAAACAAGTTTCATGAACGTGAAAAGGTGCAAACCTATTTTTTTGCTAGTTGAAGGCGAAGTTTTCTTTCGGCCCGTTCAAATTCTTTAAATTTTTCAAGTACAAAGCTGGTACCTCGCCGGTTTTTACAGTAAGATGATGCGGATTACTTACGTCTATCCAGAAAGGGTAAATTCGTAGTTCGGAGTTGAAGTGGTCAAATGAAAAGTGTACTCTTATGGCAAATTTTTGCCACAAAATACGCTTTTTGCGGAATTTCTCACTCAAGGACACTTTTCCCAGTTTTTTTGAAGGCGTGTTTTGCTCGCGCGGCTCCCGCCTTAATCAGCAAATTATATTCAAATCTGCTTCATCCAATGACCAGACTTCATTTTGGAGTTATCGTTCCAGTTTTATTAGAGTTCACTGCACGGGGGTGACAAAACCCCCAGCACCTCTATACAATACATGAATGCAACTTTATATGTTTTAGGCTAGACGTAAATGCCGCAGTGTTACTGTAATTTAAAAGGTTCAGTTTTTTACCCTCCATAAATAATCATCTTCTATTAGTTGAAATTGATATTATTTTATTAAGTAAAGACGAAGTTATGGCAGTTTTGATTGTGAGTCTGAACTATGTTCATACTGAACTACATACTTACATACAGTGTTATTAAAAATGAATTATATGCAAGAATTAAATACGTTATTGGATATTGCTATTTTCAAGCGAGTAAGCTAGACAAAAAGTAATGTAAAACAAGGCATTACAGTGTACGAATCCATAAATGCATGATTAATAGAGCGAATCGGAGTGCAATTAATGCGAAATTATTAATCGTGTCCGTATAAAACATCAGGTTCATTTAGGAAACTTGATGTGAGGTTTCACTACAGCAGTTGCCCAGCATCTTCCTTCTATCATTCCTGGTAGTTCTTTCCAGCGATCTCCACCAATGTTGAAAGATTCCACTGAGTTGAGATATCCCTGCTCTTTATTCCATCCACCAAGCACGATAATGATGTCATTTGTAATTACAGCAGAGCTGCCGAACCTCTTGTGAATCATGGCCGGCAGTGTCTCACTTTGTCCCGTCTCTGTGTCATACATTATGACGTCATTGATTGCTCGACCTTCCTTATCCATGCCGCCGAAAGCGACGATCTTATCTCCCCAGGTGACTATGGACATACGACTGACAGGTCGAGGTAACGATGGACGTTCCTTGAACTCCTTCCTAATCAAATCATAAACAAAAACGCTGCCAATGGCATCTTCACTTTTGCCGGTGGGTGCTCCGCCCAAGATAAACAGTTTTCCATTAACAATTGCCGCTTTGTGATGTCTTCTTGGCTCAGGCATTTTCGTCAACAGCTTGGCAGTATAAGGTGGGGTAAGAGAGATCTGATAGATTTCATTCAAGGTTTTTCTTTCATGCCAAATACACCCCCCTATTAGATATAAATATCCCTCATGTACAACGACGTCATGGCCAAATAATTTAAAAGGCAGTTTTCCAAGAATTGCGAATTGCAGATGTTGGTTAATGTTCAAAACCCTGATCTCGTCACTATTATCTTCATCACCGACACCACCAGAAACAAGGATGCGATTGTCGTGAACACACAATGCAGATGATACTAGAGGTTGCTCGAATTCTTTCACAATTTTAGAGCTTCTCTCAGCAATATTATACAGTTCAACAGTCTTTACAGCAGTGGTTTCTCTTTCACAACCATAACCACCGCCAATTATGAAAATGTTTTGGTTGTAGGTTGCATGACGTTCTTGAGTTTCCTCCAGTTTGTTTTGTTTTTCCATGATTTCTTTTTGCCTTGCTGAGATGGTTTTAATTTCATTGAACATTTCATCTTGACGGGTTTTGATACCTTCTATTACCTGAATATTGGCTCGAAGAAGCTGACAGAAACTCTTTTTATGGTTGTCTTCATCTTTTGCGTTGACCTGCTGGCCACAACTTTCACACATGACTGGACGGTATTCGCAAACGCTCAAGTGATCCTGAAGCATTCCAAGCTGAGCAAATTCAGGACAGCCTCGAATGTTGTAATCACACTTGATTCTCAGCTCCGACAAAATCTTCGGCAAAAAATATTTGGGACGTTTCAACGTTTCCAATGCGAGGGGTTCCTGACATTCTGGGCAGGTTTGTGACTCTTTATCAAGATATTGTGCTATACAATTCAAACAGAAGTAATGTTCCTTTGCCTCGCATGATCGTGGATCTTTCAACACACAGTGGCAAATACCGCACAGATAATCTTGTCTGACTGGATCTATAAAGCGGCTTGGAACGTAACCATGAGCCATTAGCAGTAACGTTCAAATTGATTCTGAAATATAATTATATCATGATTACATTGGATGTTATTTACCACCTGCGAGGTCCGGATGTAAAAAACTGTGCCCGAGGTCTCAGGCTGAGGAACGTTTTCAAGACCGAGGGGACATTTTTTGCATCCGGACAGTGACGTAGCCAGCGTTGATAATTGGGGGGGGGGGGCATATTCATATATTCATGATAACAGACTGTAAAGACAATCGATTTGAAAAGAAATTAATCCTGCGTAACATGAAAATATGAATATGCCCCCCCCCCCATTATCGTTCTGGCTACGCCACTGCATCCGGACCGAAGCTGCCGGTAAATAACGTGTTTATTTTTTAACCTTGACTTTATTGACTTTATCAAACACAAAAAAATACAACAAATTTAATGAATAAACTATAAAAATTATAAATTCTGCAAGCCATTTTAGAATTTTAATACGTCAACAACACCTTATAATGTCAATGATATTAATCGGATTGACCCCGGATATTATGGTTCGAAGATGTTACAATATATTTCTCAGATATTCATTACGTTGGAGTTAAGTTTCAGCTGGCTTTTGAATGCATGAATCGACTCTCCCAGTTTGGTGTCGATAGGGAGCCATAGGATATTCCATAACTTAGCTTCACTATATTTAAAGCTCTTTTTTAAAAGTTCCCTGTCGGGCTTAGAAAGAGCCAGATCTGTATGACTATTTCTAAGTTCATAGTTAGTTTGCATATGATTGCGTCTAATCAAGGATTCTTTGAACGTAGGAATTCATAATCATATGAATTCTCGATTAGTTACTTGGAAAGCCTGGAACAATTGATTTGCTTGATATCTAAATATAAATTTCGATTTTGAACACAATGCAATTTTATTCTTTGACCTTGCAATGCTTTGTCTTCCGGTTCCATAAAATTTTAGGAACACTGTTTTTACGTTTTGATTGGCTAATCAAAGCGAAGAACAAAAATTTCTGGACTTGTTGTCTATTGCGTGATTGAGATCACTTTACTTAGTTCAAACAATATGAGCAGTTTCCTTGGAATAGATTGAATCTTTTTTCTATATTCGCATTTATAAACAGACAAGAAGTGTATAATAAACTTACAGCCTGTTATCATCGTAAGGATGTCCAGAAAAACGCCACTCGCGGAACGAAATATGACAATGGCTGGATTGCATTTCGAAAACATTTTTAATAGTGAGTGCAATTATGTACATTTGTTGAAACAAGGTAACAGGAATATTGCATTTTTGTCATGATGGAACCTTTTTTATCGTAAATGTTTACAGTGTTATCTTGTATCTTTGAATTTATCCACTGAATAGTGGATTTAAACTACATCCGGACCTTGTATAAATTTATCCAGTGGATAGCGATTTTCATCCGCTTGATAAAGTTATCCAAGCTTCGTGTAACGCAAATCACACGCTGGATAAAACTTATCCGTTGGATAGCGACTTATCTACCTTTCGAACAACCGACCCCAGTAATCTACTCGACTGCTCTAACTGTTGAACTATCAAATCTACAGAAATTCATGGCGAGTTATTTTATACTTTACACAAGATAGACCAATCTGGTCCAATACTCTACGCTTTGTCGGTTTACACTGCACTGGGTTTCACTAAATTGACACGATAATATACTTTCACGATATTCTTATTATTCATACAAACACAGCTAGGATTCATATCTTTAATTAAGCTACAAGCACAGGCTCGGTTTTTAGACATTTCTAAATAATAAAAAGATCAAAGATAGTCAAATTATAGACTTACCAAAGTTGACAAATAATGACAGAGTTTTAGCACTTTAACCATTTCTGCAATAGATTAGTAAAACGTAGTCATCGGTATCTATGCTCAAGAGAACACCTTTTGCTTGATAATATGTCGCAAAGTTTATTGCGTCGGTTGCAAACAAAGACAAAGTCAACACCGCTCCTAAAACAGACCCACGCAAAGCAGCGAAATCATGCTGTAGAATATTGTTCTTTTAACCAAACACACAATAATTGGCGTATTCCAAGTATTAACTACAGATTCCAAGTATATAGCTATAATGCATAGCTATAATGTCAATACCAATTTCAGTTTAACTTTTAGTATGATGCTGTGAGGATTTCAGACAGTCATATCTGTCTCAGACAGATATTGCAACTATTTGTCAGAAACAATTGTACTCATTTGTTTCGATATGGCTCATAAAACTGTTAGCGTCATTTCCTTGTACACAAGTTTTTAAAAATGTCAGCTAGATAATTAACAGCACCTTTCAATGCTTTATTTGCTCTCAACAGGTATGCATGGCATTATATCATTGTATTATGGTTTGCTCTAAGATTAAATTTTTTAAATTATGCGAGATATTGCTGTTGGTTTAGTCTCGTTTATGACTCAGTGTTCAAATTACACTTTGGAGGAGTGTAATAATGTCTCATACCGACCCCCCCCCCCCCATACGTACAACCCTGTGAAGAGTCAAATAATATGTAGTGTAACTAAAGGCCATGTTACACGGTGCAAAGAGATGTAAATTAGTGAAAAGTCTTGCAGAAGTAAAGTGCATGAAGTGTGATAAACCCAAGACTTTCGTTGTTCCCAAATATATACATCAAGAAATAAATAAATAGTTAAAACGGTGTATTTTGAAGTATAACAAAATTATAGCTATTATACCAAGAAATACTCATTCGATATTCTCGAAATGGGAAACACAAGAGATCGCAAAATTATTTAACGTCCGAAATATAGCCACAAATAAACAGCTGCTCGCGAGTTTTGAAACTATAAAATAATAAAACTATAAAAGATGAACGAAAACCTTTTTGACGTTCTGGCTTATACGCTTTTTCAGGAAAGAAAAGACTGTTCAGTATTTAGGCAAAAATGCACAATAGGTTTCCCATGCCCAGTTGTTAAGTTTGTAAATGATGACAAAAGTGCGAGTATAATGTTAGTTAGAATCACTATCCATTGGATAGTGACTATTTCATACTTATACGATTTAAACTCAACTTTCTAACAGTTCCAGTGGATAACTTTATCCACCTTTCGAGCAACCGGCCCCAGTTAATAGCGGTCTTTACTCATTGCTTTTGAACTCGTCTAGTCGATCAGGTGTTTGAAAAATAGTCAAAAATTTTGACAAGATTTCATCCCTGCACGCGAGGTTTGTAAACTTAGCACTCGTTTAACGGATGGAATTAGTATTCCTGCCAACTAGCCCCGAGAAGTTACTCACGTTGACATATATTCTCGTATTGGCAAAATCAACACTTTATTCCTTGTCGCTGGGGTAACTGATATTTCTCACGGCATCAGTTCATATGGCGTTTGTCACATCATGCATGCACTGACGTTGGCCTCTTCAGTATCCTGAATATCAGTTATAATAAACTTGATAAAGATAGGATAAATCAGACTTACCGAAGTTGGTAAATACTGTGATGTTCTTTTAAGTACACTTTTCCACTCACAAACAGCACGTATCTAACTGACAACTGACAACTAACAGCAACCATGGCAACCAAGAAATTGAAAACAGCAGGCGCCAGCTTTTCAATCTAGTTAAAATATTTCAATTATATCAGAATTTCATTAAAATAAGTCCATAATGAAATGAAAATTTCGTTTCTGCAGCACGGTTCAATATTTTTAGCGGGTTTTGGTGTTTTTGAAGCTTCATTTTGAGCAATCAGAAGAGCTTGTTTGAAAATTTTGTTACCGAGCATTAAGATTCTTGTGATTTGTTACGGGGAAGAATTAGAACTGCGACGCAGTTTTTGACATATTAACATAAATTATTATATTTTAACATTAAATATTAACGTTGTGTTAATAATTCATACGTGTGAAATTGCGTGATGCGAGTCAGTTCTTTGTGTTTTAAAAATTACTTCATTTTCAAGTACCGTCTTCAAGAAACGATTTTATTATCTCCACATCAGTAAGATATCGACATTTCTAAGCGCATAATTTGGTCGCTTGGTTACAAAACAATCATTTCGTGAAATGACGCCACTCTGCATGTGTTGTAGTTGTAAACACAGAGCGACAAAAAGGCTAAGAAACAAGTGATTGAACAGGTTTACCTGTAATCTTAGCTTAGCAGGAACAGCATATCCGAGCTCTAGGCGAAAAAAATTGTAGCTTGTTAAAGACAATATATACATATTTCACTGTCAGCATGGAGTTGAATTTCAGTCACAAATTAAACAATATTAATCTTTAATACAATCACATTAACATAAGAGGGATTTTGGCTGATGAAAAAACTGAGTTTTTACTCTGTTTCTCGTTGCATTTTACATAGTTCTAGACATTCCAAGATACGTTTGTCTCAAACGTTCAAAAACTACCTTCAAATTTGGCTGCAAAGATGGCGGCCAAATTAGCGTTCCAGGTTTTATTACAGTTCACTGGCTTGAGGACGTGACATTGAACTATATATGTAAACTGGAACGCTAACTCCTGACAAACATCCCTACATTAAGTAATTTAGCTTGTAGGTACACCACGTAAGTATTAAATACTGCAACGCTTTCGGGTCTGTTAAACCGGGCCTTCATCAGTGCAATTACCTGAATAACACACGGTTAACGGACCGAAAGCTTTGCAGTATCAAATACTTAGTGTTGTACCTACAAGCTAAATTACTTATCGACTGTCACCATGCAAACATACAAGAATATTATCCCTATATTAGTTTTAAGCCAACAAAGCGATCGTTCAATTCTATCAATTCAATTCTAAATTACTAAAACTATCACGTTAACAAAGAAACATATACACAAACTAAAAACAACTGGAAAAATAAACTTACATAACAGACCCGCTTCTTGAGGCGATGTGCAAACCACGACATAAAGTTATTAAGGACCTTAAGCATGTAGGATGGGAACACGACGACGGCAGCTATCAATACAATGCTTCATTGAAAAGAAATGAATTATTAAATACCTATGGGAGTTTTAGACGTGATCTACGTTCTGTTTACAACGGCAAAACGTCGTTTATTACGTCCTTTGTACAGGGTGTCCCAAAAAAATGTCCCCTCTATTGAAATCAAGCCTTTGTTCGAATCTGATTGCCTTAATATTATGATAAACCCAATTGAAAGCAAGACGCTTTATTTGAATGCCTCAACCTAATAAATATGCTGTTTACACACTACTGCGTTGATCATGCATTCAAATTCCAACAAAAGCTTCATTTCAATAGCGGGGACTTTTTTTTGGGACACCCTGTAGAACGTCTGCATTTCAGGAAACCAGTAAGCGCTACCTCGAATATACATTAGGCTCTATAGAATTGTCCCTAAACGTAAACACGATGTTTTCAACGTCTTATATCTCTTTATATTGGTACAGTTGATAATAAAGAAGAACGCTTAACCATAACATTAATTTAAAGGAGCATTCCAACCACGTCGTCGTCGTTTTGCCGTCCTACATGCTTAAGGTCCCTATTAGGTTTTCGTTTATAAGTATTTCGTAGTCGAACGTTGAGTGGACATTAGTGCAACTACGAAATACTTATAAACGAATAGCTTAAGTACTTTACGACACGAATTTTAAGTGCGACTGTGCCTTACGAATGCACAGAACCAACGGATTGAAAAAGGATTATTTTCGCATGCCTCAAATCGGAAATTATTACCGCGTAATATTCAACAGTTATTCTGCGAACTCGAGTCGTATATGAGCTGATAGTGAGCGACGAGAGCGAGCAGAATAACTGTTTTATTATATACACAAACTTTGTCGCCCTTTCGGTGCATTTTGGTGTGCTATTATCCACTAAAGTTTGGATTTCTATTTCACTCAACTCCCTAAATCTTTTCGCCATTTTGTTTACTTTCTCTACTAGACAGATATGAGCTAATATCTGTCTAGTAGCCAAACAATGAAATTGCAGCATACCTCATATCTGGCGCTTGTGTATATAATATTATCCGCTATTTAACTAAAGGTTCCTGTTTTAATGAAGCTGAAAGCTGCTACAGTCAACTTTTCCGAAGCGAACTCATTGTACGTTGAATTTCAGTCACTTTTCGCCATTTTCACGTCGTCTTTAAGGGGTTGTTCACACGAGCCCGGTCGGTTACCCGAGATTCAACGAAACGTGAGATGATTTTGAGGTACTGAAATTAGTTCTTGTGAAACAAAACAAGCTCATGCTATTGTCCGAATGATTACACGACTACCAGGATCATGTTATTGTCCGAATGACTACACGACTACCAGGATCATGCTATTGTCCGAATGACTACACGACTACCAGGATCATGTTATTGTCCGAATGATTACACGACTACCAGGATCATGTTATTGTCCGAATGATTACACGACTACCAGGATCATGTTATTGTCCGAATGACTACACGACTACCAGGATCATGCTATTGTCCGAATGACTACACGACTACCAGGATCATGTTATTGTCCGAATGACTACACGACTACCAGGATCATGCTATTGTCCGAATGACTACACGACTACCAGGATCATGTTATTGTCCGAATGATTACACGACTACCAGGATCATGTTATTGTCCGAATGATTACACGACTACCAGGATCATGTTATTGTCCGAATGATTACACGACTACCAGGATCATGCTATTGTCCGAATGACTACACGACTACAAGGATCATGTTATTGTCCGAATGATTACACGACTACCAGGATCATGTTATTGTCCGAATGATTACACGACTACCAGGATCATGTTATTGTCCGAATGATTACACGACTACCAGGATCATGTTATTGTCCGAATGATTACACGACTACCAGGATCATGTTATTGTCCGAATGATTACACGACTACCAGGATCATGTTATTGTCCGAATGACTACACGACTACCAGGATCATGTTATTGTCCGAATGATTACACGACTACCAGGATCATGTTATTTACTCCTTTCAATACATCAAAATCACATTACGTTTCGTTGAAACTCGGCTAAAGGCCATGTTACACGGTGCAATTTTTCTAATTGCAACTTGCAATGCAATTAAGTACGAAATTCGTCATTCTTGCGCGTTGTTTGCTTACGCCATCAGTCAAAACTCGTAGTCGTTGGGTTTTCGAGTACGAAATTTGCCAACAAACGATATTTACTCAAAAATCCGGTGACTGCGAGTTTTGGCTGATGGCGTAAGCAAACAAGGCACGAGAATGACGAATCTCGTACTCGTATTCACTGCTAAAACTCCAAAATACGTTGCCTCAAAGCGGCGAAACCACAGCGGTTGCTTTGGTTCTCATCTTCTTCATAGCTCGAGCAGCTTGCCATGCGTTCGAGCGAAAATCGTAGAACTCCACGGAGTTGTAATAACCACCCATTACGATAACCACACCATCTACCAGGACGGCTGATAAATACTTTCTCTCGTGAATCATACCGGGCAGCTCAACGCTTTCCCCAGTCTCCGTGTCGTACATTTGAACATCGTTTATCACTTTATGAGTTGACATTCTGCCTTCACGAAAGAACCTTCCTCCACCGAGTACCATAATCTTCTTCCCTATCGGCACCATTGCCTGACCTGATCTTGTGAATGGCAACCTGGGCATATTCCAGCAGTCCTTTTTAACGAGGTCGTAAAAAAAGATGCTGTCGTAATCTGGCGGTTGTCCTCCAAATATGAACAATTTGTCGTCGAGAAGTTCCGCTTTGTACGGGGTGTTGTGAAATAGAGTCCTCGTGTAGGGTAGGATGCACAATTGCTTTTTAGCATAAGGAGGGATGAGGGACATCTCGAATAGCTGGCATACGAAGTTTTCCGATTTATTCTCGCAGAAACGAACGAGTATCAGCCTTCCTTTATAAACAAAGGTTTGATGCTCTGACATCGGAACTGGAAGTTTGGCATCTGACATTACCCACGTCGCAGAAAGCTGATCAAGATGTAAAATCTCAATACTGTCAGTGGGTACCGGATCTTTTTCACTAGGAATGTTTCCACCGCTGACGATAACTTGATTTTCGAAGACGACAGATGAAGCATCAGAACGCGGAACGATCATCGGTGCCAGCTCAATCCATTTTCCCTCTTTACAGCAGAACTTCTCTACAGAATTCGTGATTTTCTCATCAAAGCTACAACCGCCCATGATGATAACGTCATGGCTGATTGGTGGACCATGTTGTTGGTTTGAACCTTGGGTATTTTGTGAACTTTGGGGATCATTGAAAATACTCTCTACTTTCGCGTCGAGATTGCCCACCAGCATATCTTTAACACCTTCTTTCATTCGTTCCACCAGAGCTGCCATTTTTCCATCCAACTCTTTGGCATTTCTCTCAGCCGTTTCTTGATCGCGTTTCAACTTGCCAATCCGTTCTTCAGCATCCTTGTTTGACTGTACCTGATCTTGTTTTAACTTCTCTATCTGTTTTTCCATATTTTCTTTCACCTTCTTCATCTCTTTCTTCAATTCCGCGCAGCCATCACACTCCACCTTCCTAAACTCGCACAGTTCAGTTTCATGGTGAAGTTTATCTCTTTTATTGATCTCCGCGCCACAGCCTTCATTTCCACAAGTCGCTGGTCCATACTCGCACTCATCCTCGTGATTTTGAAGCCTGGCGAGCTGAACAAATTCAGGACAACCACGCTCGTTGAAGCCACATTTGATTCTCAACTCTGAGATACAATTCAGCAGCAATCTCGGAGGTTGCATCAGCGTCTCAGGTGTCAGTACCTCCATGCATTCTGGGCATGTGTGAGAATTCTCAAGATGTTGACCGATGCAGCCGAAGCAGAAGTAATGCTGATTCCTGCCACAACTCTTCGGGTTTTTCAAGACGTTGAGACAGATGGAGCATTTGAAATTATCGCTAACAGGAAGTTCAAAAAGTTCCTCATCATAACCTCGGTCTCTGGCAAACATCGACGCCATTTCTGCGAATTGAAAGAAATTTGCTGGAATTAGTTGACAGAACTTTTTTTCATTATGAGTGACGTCTAAAAGGCGCTTTATTTTATACGGTAAAAACGGCAAGACCGGTTCTCTCGTATTTCAGCATAGACAGATTACTGGTATTAACGAAAAATACAATTAGAGGGTTAATAGACGATGGCGTATAGCCCGCCGCACACGAGAGCTATCAGCCGAGCTAACGACCACGCGAAGCAGTTAACTCAGCCTGAAAACTATCCGCACACGATAGAAACTTGCCTCTCGAGGCGAATTCCTAACGAAAAACTATCCGCACACGAGAGTAACTTGCTGAGCTAACAGCCTCGCGAGGTCTTTACCTCAGCTAATAGAGAGCTTAAGCAAACCACAGTTAATAGAATACACATGGTTTGGACCGACGACATAAAACTACAATACAACTCATTAACTATGTTGAGGTAGATTTGAGCAAAAAATTGTTCCTTTCTCATCACATGTCTATTGTATTTTGCACAGATAAACCAATAGCAATTTTATAATTAACATATTTTTCAAGTCAATATTGAGGAGCTTAGGAAGGCAAATGCCATTGGTAAGTTTGGCCAAAATACAATAGACACGTGACGAGAAAGGAACCATTTTTTGCATAAACGTGGACAATAACATAGTTAATGAGTTGTATTGCACTTTTATTTAGTCTCCAGACCATGTATATTCTATTAACAGTGCGCAAACAGGACGGCACCTTCGTAATACCGTGTAATAAATGGCGTTGTTTCGGCTTTTGCTACCATTTATATGCATAGATTCAGTAGCAGATCTAGGGGTGTGCAGAATAAATTACACAGCTTCATTTTAAATTCAAAACACCTTAATAACAACGCTATTTGTTATAGGTTTGAAAAGAATATTTTAAAATCTACCAATGCGATTCCGATTTTGAGCTGTAGTAATTTATTCTGCACACCCCTAGATCCGCCACTGCATAGATTAGCAGAAGCAGAAGCAACGCCATTTCTTACAAGCCATTACGAAGGTGTCGTCCTGTTTGCGTAAGCTCTCTACTAGCTCTCGTGGGAGGTGGGCTTAAGGCGCTGTCATACTATGCAATTTTCCTTGCAACTTACAATGCAATTATAATTTTGAGCGGTGTTAATTAGTAAAGAGTGTTCAAAATGCTAAGAAAACGTTAGCAGATCGAAAGAAATGTTCGTATTTGACAGCTTTAGATCCCTCAGGAGTAGAATTGCATTGCAAGTTGCAAGGGAAGTTGCATAGTGTAACATCGCCTTTAGTTCCTCCGTTCGGTGTTGCGATGTGTTATCGATAATCGATTAAGTCTGGTTTCCATTTAGTCCCAATTGTCGTGAACACGTCGCTTTCACCGATGGGAAATAGTCCGAATGTGACTTAATGTAACTTTATAATCTGTATTCATATCGGTCATTGTTGACTGCACACTTAGAAATATTCTATCACATCAACCACCTTGACATGTTCACGAGATTCACGATGAAATGGCAACCAGTCATTAGTACGAATTATTTCGCTATACGTTTCAACCCTGGATAAATTGATTTTAGCCACAGCTATCAAACGACTCTATTGTTTACAATACGAGCCCTTTGCGATTCATTTCAGCCAAGGTTGCAGTTTGTACTCGAACTAAATGGCATTTGCTACATTTAAATAAGGCCCATAGTCATTGCAAAGGCACACGTTACTTTAGTTGTGTGGTTAAATTCAACCAAACAATAATACAAAGTCAGTTTGTCGCTACTAAAAGCTAGATTTCAATATGACCTCTCATATGACCTCCATTTCATTTTGCATCAAATGTGGTATAACAACTGCCAAAATAGACAAAACACTTCTCGTCCTGACGAAGGCCCTCAGGTCGAAACGTCGAGAAGTGTTTTGTCTATTTAGGCAGTTGTTATACCATATTTGATGCTAAGTTGTCAGTTGAAGACGCTGCCACGCTGCTCCTTGGTTATATTGAACTTATGCTCATATCATTGTTTATATTATGATGCAATTGTGCTAAGCTTTGCGTCGTAATTGCTGTCTATTCCGGGTTCAGAATTGAATACAGACCAAAGTGATAAAAATTATTAAACAAACTTACCATAACTCGTCGTAACCAACTAGATTGCGCCTCGCAAATTTGCTCGTTCTTTCGATAAATCAATCTTTGGCTATCAAATGAAAGACTTCCGAAGTTCAACAAGTGTCTCGTGACAAATTGATGTTTCCGTGTACCATAATAGGACTTCATTTGAAAGCACTCATTTCCTGCCCAGCGAAAGACCTTTCTCATAAAAGCGGTTTTTCACTATGCGGAAATTTCGTTCGATCGAAAAATTCAGGAAAAAATATGGTTGATTAGTGTAAATCCTAATCCTTAATTTGATCCTAATACCTAAAACTTTTGAACCGTAAATTTCTGACTAAACCAGATCCGGGCCTGGGCGATGCGTTACGTCATACTATCTTACGTTAGTATGACGTAACGATTAACTTTGTTTTTTAGAAAAAGCATTCCTTTGTAAAGTGAGACATCATGAAAAAATTTTAAAAAAAATTATAAAAATAAAAATGAGAAAACTTTATATAAGTTTATTCATTGAACAGAATGTTTCACAAAATAATTGTAAACAAAATCTAATTAACTAATTAGTCTTAAGTCAGATGATAATTGCTGATGAAAAAGTAAATCTTAAATCAGATGATAATTGCTAAAATAATGTCAATTGATATTAAATCACTAAATTATAGAGATATATTCCTTTGTATACAGTTCATGTGCAGTCATATTTTTGCTTCGTCTTTTTTGGCTGACTTTTCAAAACAACAGAGTTTTGACGAAAAGTTTATCAAAGCAGGAACAATACGATAGTTTTACAACGGGGAGACAACCGCTGTTAGCCCACGCTTGGCATATTTCATGGCTTTAAAAAAATGCCAAGCGTTTGTGCGAAAATCGTACAATTCCACTGAGTTATCCTCGCCACCCATTACAATGATCACGTCATTAGTCAGGACTGCCGTGCAGTCATTTCTTTCACGTGTCATGGGTGGCAAACTCTGGCTTTCTCCCGTCTCTGTGTCATATATCATGACATCTTTTGATTTCTTTTCAACCATTTGCCGAGCATGGAAGCCGGGAAGCTGACTCTGACTTTCCTCTAGCTTCCATCCTCCTAGTAAGATAATTTGATCGCTTCGAATCACCGTCGACATCCACCAGCCAGGATGCGGTAAACCAGGCATTCGTCTTAACTCGTTCGCGAGAAGGTCGTAAACAACAACATTACCATAATTAGAAATTCCTGGACCGAATATGAATAGGTTGTGGTTGATGAGTGATGCTGTATAATAGTTGCAGATTTGCTGAGAACGTATCAAATGAAAGGCATACAATTCTTTGGAATCATGTGGAGGAGTTAGCGAAACTTCAAAAACCTTGCAAGTGTAGTTATAAGTAGAATAAGACTTGTGTTTAATAGGACCATCACGAAATCTATAAAAAATAACCACTTTTTTCTGATAAACAAAGGTTTGATGACAAAACATAGGCTTAGGAAGTTTAGCATCCGACATTGCCCATGCCAAAGGGCGTTGATCAAGACTCAAAATCTCAATACTGTCGATGGGAATGGGAACATAACTCCCCTTCGAAGATATTCTTCCACCGCTGACAATAACTTGATTTTCGAAGACAACTGATGAAGCATGAGAACGTGGAACGATCATTGGAGCCAGTTCAATCCATTTCCCCTCTTTACAGCAGAACTTCTCCACAGAATTAGTGATTTTCCCATCGTCAGCTTTTGCGCCACCAATTATGATAATATCGTGGTTGATAGGGGGGTTATGACGGTGGCTTCGCTGAACAATATGATCTTTATTTTTGGTGTCTTGCTCCGGTCGGGAATCACTTTGGGTATCGCCGAAAATTCTTTCTACTTCTGCGTGAAGGCTGACCGCGAGGATGCCTTTTACGCCTTTTTTCATTCGTTCCACCAGAAGCGCCACTTTTTTCTCAAGCTCCATTTGTTTTTCATTTGCTTTCCTCTGCTTTTCTTCCACATCTTTGGCTGCCTTCTCTTGATCTCGTTTCATCCTGCCAATCTCTTTTTCCATATTTTCTTTCATCCCCTCCATCTCTTTCTTCAACACCTCACAACCATCACATTCCACCTTTCTAAACTTACAGAGTGTGGATTCATGGAGAAGTTTATCTCTTTTATTGATCTCCGCGCCACAGCCATCATTCCCACAAGTTGCTGGTGCAAACTCACATTCATCCTCGTGATTTTGAAGCCTGGCAAGCAGAACAAATTCAGGACAACCACGTTCGTTGAAGCTACATTTGATTCGCAACTCTGAGATACAATTCAGCAGCAATCTCGGAGGTTGCATCAGCGTATCAGGTGTCAAGACCTCCATGCATTCTGGGCATGTGTGAGAATTCTCAAGATGTTGACCGATGCAGCCGAAGCAGAAGTAATGCTGATTCCTGCCACAACTTTTCGGGTTTTTCAAAACGTTGAGACAAATGGAGCACTTGAAATTATCGCTAACCGGATATTCGAAAAGTTCCCCATCATAACCTCGGTCTCTGGCAAACTTCGACGCCATTTCTGGAAATTGAAAAGAAATTTTGCATCATTTAGACAGAATTTTCTTGTAATGTGTTTGACGTCTTAAAGCCGCTAACAGGCTGATATCTATTGTAGGGGGGGGGGTTGAATATGAAAGTGCTGGTTACGGCAAAGCCCCTGGGTGACATTCTTGATCAGGGATACACTATAGTTACGTAATGTTATGATAATCCCCTGGTATTTACCCGTAATGAATCGTTCACATCTATCTTTGGAAATTGCAGCAAAAATCGCTAATGGACAGATATAGATATCGATAGTTACAATCTGATATCACCAGCTAAAACCATATCACCGATACTACCAGCTAAGAGCATATTTATTTATGTATCAAAATGATGAAAAAAACGCTCTATGGTGAGAATATAAGCCAGCCGGTTTCTCAGGTTAAGGATACATGATCGCTATTCGCTATTAGTGCTAACTAGTCGTAATGTAAACAAATTTTTCGTTTACTGATTCTGAACTGTGGCATTTTTGAAATACGACTTCGTTTGCAACGCATCTTGTTCGCTATAGTTTCTTACAAAGAGATAAGCGACCAAATGCAGTTTTTGTGCGAATTCGCTTCTGCAAAAATACTATAACGGTATTCCCCGATATTCACCTCGCGTTCGGCGAATAATTGTTAATTGCAACCGATTGAAAACAATTATTCGATGCGGTTTTGTGATATGCTAGCAGATAACTGAATTTTGCGCGATTTATCTGTCAACTATTAGCCAATCAAATTGCTTTTACTACTGTAACGTATAATAATACGGCTTAAAATGCCTTTTACACAAAATGCGATTTTCACACTGCCCGTGTCGCAGTGTTATGCACGGTGAAAGAAAATTTCGATTTTATAAAATCGAAAAATACTTAGAGCCGTTTGAATGTAAATATTTTTTACCCTTGACCGTCGTTACAGGACACTGGAACTAGAGATTTCGGTGACGTCACGCAAGTGAGCCGCTGCAGACTCACTGTTTATTGCTGGGGTTCTTTGCTATGTTTACTCCGGCTACTGTGGTAACTGAGTCTAGGTTTTGCGATTTTTTTTTTCGTGTCGCAGGCTTAGTCTTCCGCGCGGAAGTGTATCTATATAAGCTCAGTTTCAGTGCAGTGTATTTACCGGCTACATAACCCTATCTAATCTAGCTATCTGTCTGTCTGATGACAGTGATTATCAATGTAAGGGATCAAATTCTTTAAACAGTGCACAATTTGTACGTTCACACACCAGGCATGTTGTAAAACATGGACTGGACTGGACTTGTAAACTATGGACTGGACTGAACTGGACTTGTAAACTATGGACTGGACTGGACTTGTAAACTATGGACTGGACTAGACTTGTAAACTATGGACTGGACTGCACTGGACTTGTAAAACATGGACTTGTAAAACATGAACTTGTAAAACATGGACTTGTAAAACATGAACTTGTAAAACATGGACTTGTAAAACATAAACACCAATCTTCGAATATATTGGTTTCAGCTCATTAAACACACAAAAACACATTACAAAATATCTTGCCACTCTCTGCCCCAACCTTTATTTGCCGTCGAAATGGACGACTTGCGCTTTAGACTAACTTTTGATCGAAGTAACTAGAGGAAAATAAATCACCCCAGCTAGAAAGATCTTACTTAAATTAGTAAAACTGCCAAGTTTGGCTGCGAAATTTTGTAAAATACGGAAAATATAGCCACGCGAAGTTGGCAAATTTTGTATACTTTTGTATTACGACCGGAAATGTGTAACTAATTTAGTTACACATTTCCGCACGTAATACAAAAGTATACAAAAATCGACAACTTCGCATGGCTATATTTTCCGTATTTTACAACAATTTGCAGTCAAACTTGGCAGTTTTACTTATTTTAGTAAGCTCTTTCAGAAAATGTCCTTTTTATCGCCGAGGTAAAAAATTAGTCTAAAGCGCAATTCGTCCAATGGACGGCGATAACGAAATAGAAACCGTCTACTATTTACAGGCATACATTTGTATCATATATAGTTAGATTGTGGTAATTAGCCTTTCTCACGCTGCTACTTTTGGGGTACTGTGATTTTTTGTAGACGATTATAATGTGAAAAGCAATATTTCAGAACAAACTATACCTATTCAAGAAGTAAATTAATACCTCAAAATCATCTCACGCTTCGTTGAATCTCGGGTAACCGGGCTCATGTAAACAGCCCCTAATGCAGCTTGCTTGAAGCCTTTACACTCTCGACAAACGCAACCTATCGACATCGTCAAAATATACCGACTTAGTTTCTCCGTCCAAAGCTGTGCTGTGTTGTCAACTAATAACGAATTGCGGTTTGTTTAGCCGTAGCTTTTAACCCTGGGTTTATTTTAGCCAAAGCCATCAAACGATTCTATTGTCTACAAATTGCAATACGAGCTCTTCGCGATTTATTTCAGCCGAGGCTCATTTGCGCTGGTACTAAAATACCTTTGCTTCATTTGAATAAGACTCATAATCATTGTAAAAGCGCACGTTGCTTCAGAAAGTGCTCTTTCACGATGGCTATAAATTGAACCCATCAGTAAGCCAAAGCTGTGTGCTAAGGCTGCTAAGCCTAAGAGCAAAAATAGATTTTAATCTGATCAACAAGGCTAACAAATGTTTATGCTATGCGATTGTGCTAAGTTTTACGTCGTAGTTGCTGCCTATTCCGGGTTTAGAATCGAAACAGAGCAAGTGGTAAAAAGAATTAAACAAACTTACCAAAAATCGTGGTAACCAACTACATTTCTCGTCGCAAATTTGCTCGTTTTTTCGAGAAATCAATCTTCGGCCATCAACCAGAAGACTTCCGAGGGTCAGAACGAGTTGCGCAAGTGTCTCGTGACAAAACTCATGTTTCCGTGTACCATATTAGGGTCTCATTTGAAAGCACCCATTTTGTGCCTGGCAAAAGGCCTTTTTCATAAAGCCGGAAGAAAGAAAAATTGAACTTTTTAAAGTTATTCAATAGTTTTCTCTTTGATAGCGATACAGAAATGCACAATTGTGAACCAGTTATTAGATCTTCGGCTTGAAACTTCACTGATAAACACCAATTTCTGCGTTGTTCAATGAATGGCGACTACGAAATAGACTTATTTGCGTTTGTTTTACTATTTCATACATGTAGTGTGTTCTAAACTAAACACATTTTAAAATTGCAAAATCAAGTTCTAAGATTGCAAGATTACGGGCATTCATTTTCCGAACTTCCAAGTTTCGTTCAATTTTGCCAAGAATTTGATTAGGTATCTACGTATAACGTAATGTCGAAAAACGGATAAAGTGTTATAACATGTAAATGAGCTTGTAGGTACACCACGTTAGTATCAGTTAATACTGCAATATTGAACTGACGAAGGCCCGGGTTAACGGACCGAAAGCTTTGCGGTATTAAATAGGTCCGTTGGAGTTATGCGTTTTATTTTGATGAATGTCTACTATAGTAGACACGTAATTGTATAGTTTTGACTTTTGATTGTTTATTAACACTGATGCTATTCGATCTATATATACAATATTAAGAATTATAAGTAAAGTAATGGGTGGGGGCAAAATGCGGATACGGATTGCGGATGGGAAAATGCGGACGAGAAAATGCGGATGAGGGGATACAATGCGGATTGGAAAAGCGGATGAGGGAATAAAATGCGGATGGAAAAATGCCGATTAGGGGATAAAGTGCGGATGGGAAAGTGCGGATGAGGGAATAAAATGCGGATGAGGGAATAAAATGCGGATGTGGGGATAAAATGCGGATGGAAAAATGCCAATTAGGGCCATAAAATGCGGATGGGAAAGTGCGGATGAGGGAATAAAATGCGGATGAGGGGATAAAATGCGGATGGGAAAGTGCGGATGAGGGGATAAAATGCGGATGGAAAAATGCGGATTAAGGGATAAAATGCGGATGAGGGGAAAAAGTAATGTAAATGAGTTAAGAAAATTAATCGTTGCTACTTACTTCTTTGGCGTGTCCTGAGACCTCAGGGCTACATTAAATATTTATCTGGTTAGCAAATGTACTGAATATTCTACAATACAGAATAGCTTTTCTTTTAAGATCCTTTCGATAGAAGTTCGTAGTTTCAATTGGATTTAACTTTAACATGCAATCTACTTTGTCGCGTCGAACTGACACATGTCATTGTCACAAAGTAATATAACAGATTAAGGGGCTGACTACATGGTGTCTTTTCAGCCCAACAAACCGGGGCCAAAATACTTTTCAATTACATGGAAAGTTTCCACCCGGGCTGTGTTTAGGACACGTCAGAATTATTTTAAAACCAGGTTGAAATTTCAGCCCTGGCTGAGTTTGTAAAGGCTGGTAGTAGACCTATTTCGATTCTTCGAGCGCTTTAAAACCCCGAATGACAATAACTTGACCTTTAAGGGACTATGACTGCACATAAAAGTGAAATAAACAAACGAAAAAGCATTGTCAAGGCGAATTTTTCTGTCCGGGTTTAAGTTTATTTACGATTACATGGCAACAACACTAAGTTTCAGGCCAGACTGAAGTTTCAGCCCGAGTAACTCAAACCGGGCTGAAATTCTTGTCATGTAATCGCGTGCGCGATTTTGTTAGGATTTTATAACAACCCCGGGCTGAAGTTTCAGCCCAGTTAGCCAGGCTGAAACTCAGCCCTGGCTGAAAACACTCCATGTAATCAGCCCTTAAACAGAACTAATATAACATAACTAATTTACCTTATCTAATCAATCTATAAGCTACCTACAAGCTAATTTATTTATTGATGTCACCTGGTTTGATATCTTATCAAACAAGAACACAATATGAAGTTTTTTTTTCAGATGTGAGGTTTCACTACAGCAGTTGCCCAGCATCGTTTTTCTATCATTCCTGGCAGTTCTTTCCAGCGATCTCCACCAATGGTGAAAGATTCCACTGAGTTGAGAAATCCCTGCTCCTTATTCCGTCCACCAAACGCGACAATGACGTTGTTCACTATGACAGCTGAACAGCCTTTTCTTCTGTAAATCATGGAGGGCACTCGCTGAATTTGCCCCGTCTCAGTGTCATACATGTAGGCATCATTTAAAACCTGACCATTCTTATCTTCGCCGCCAACAACGATTATCATCTTACCCCAGGTAACTGTGGACATGGCGGTAACAGGCTGAGGTAACGATGGACACGTCGTAAACTCATTCTTATCCAAATCATAAGCGACAACACTGTCAAGTGCTTTAGCGTTGATCGACTTTCCTCCCAAGATGAACAGCTTTCCGTTCACGAGCTCTGCTTGGTGATGTCGTCTTGGCTGAGGCATCCTAGCCATCATAAGCGCAAGGCTGGGCCCAATAAGATTGACGGCGTAAATACGATCACTCATCTCCTCAGAGATCCGATCTTGCCCGCCAATAAGGTAGAGGCGTTTTTGAAAGACAACAGCGACGTGATCTGATAACTTGACATGCGAAATATCTGCGAACTCGACCCACTGCAAAGTTTGCTGGTCAATCTTCAACACTTCGATGACGCCAGTGCCCGTGTTACCATCGTAACCACCCGAGACAAATACATCGGAATTGTGAACACAGGACGCGGGCGTTCCTCTGGCGACCAACATGTCTGGGTACCGCGTCGATCTTCCCAGGACCATGTTGAAATTTTCGACCGTTTTCAAAGGCCTGGTAAAATCTCGGGAGGAATACCCACCAAGAACTATGATTTCTTGATTCTCGACCGAAGCAATTGGTTGCAAGCATTTTTCACTTCGTATTCCTCCTTGCAATAACTGATTCAACATTTCTGTCATCCTTTGCAACTGTTGCGTGACCACAGATTCAAACTTCACTTGACGTGCGTTCATTTCTTTTTGGCTTCGTCTCATTTCGTTAACATTTTCCTGAATTCAAAAATTGATGACGCGACGGTTATCAATACAAAGGACAATTGTAATGTAATAGATAATAAAGTATAACAAAATTACCTCCATTCGATTCACTTTGACACTTATTTCATCTTGTTTTTCAGCCAATTCGTCCACTTTATTTTTCAAGTCTTCTTTCACTTCAGCCATGCTGACCTGCGAAACAGGATGAAATTTGATTAAAATTTAACTTTTTTATTTGCTTTGTTGACGAAAACGTGCAGAAGAGAAAATCTTACATTTGAAGAAAAAGTTTAAAATATACATTGCCACACTAATTATCTATCGATTTTTCCACATAAGGCCACGGGGGGGGAGGTTATTCTGTACTTCGGACACTTGAATGGCGGCAAGGGGGGGGGGAGGGAGGTGTAAATAAATCAATCTCAATATTAGATTAGGATCTAATATATTAGAATCTAATCGATAAGGGTTCAGATATAGGATTAAGGCTAGGATTATATTCGTGGATTGGGGACATGAAATTACTACGAAGGGTGGGGTTATATTAAGGCCTGTCCACACTGTCCAATTTTGCCGGATGCAGTTCATTTCTGACGTATGGGGATGAAGTCTGTTATTGACAATGCCAGCATTCGCTTGAGTTGATTTGCTGCTACACACATTCCGAGTTACCAAACTATAAGGCTTGTTTTTCCACTTCAACTCTATCGTATCGTAACCTAACGTTACGTTTCTTTGTTTCCGAAGTATTCAACCAGAAGTAATGAGTTTAAAACATTGAGATACGCTAATAACGTTTTCCGACAGAATTCGATCGTGGGAACAGGCCTTTAGAGAGTGGCGATATTAGAGAGGGATGTTAACTACACGCGTAAAAATATCATATCTTCTAGGAAGTTGTTCACTTGCTTGTAACAAGATTTGTTCGCTCTGTTTGTTCCAAGCTGTCGACGAGATGGGACAACTTGTCAACAAGTTGTAACAAACTTGTTGAATCTAAAAACTTGCTACAAGGCTGTTCCAACAAGTCTGGTACAAACATGATGCAACAATATTGCTACAATCGTTTTCTGTCAAGTTCGTAGCAATGTTGCTGTATCATATCTAATAAGACTTGTCAGAACAATCTGGTAACAAGTCTGATAATGCCACCGGACTTGCTACAAGTTGTTAACAGCTTGTCCCAATCTTGTTACAACAAATTGCAGCAATAAGTGCGAACACAACTGTTGACAATTTGTTTGCAGACTTGCAGCAAATCGTTGCAGACTTGTTACAACTTGTGCGTTTTTACGCGTTTAAAGCGAAAAAATTATTTAGTTATTATTTGCTATTATTTTAAAATCGAGACTAAACTTTAAGTAGTTAATCTGGATGTTGTGAAAATGTGAATCGGGACGGGTACACTGTTACAAGGCCTTAGGCCAAGCATGTGACTCTTTGATGTAGCAACTAACAGTGAAAATATCGAAATTCTCCGCCTAATATGTTCCTTTAAACATCGTGCAGCTATAGAAGAAGCATTTTCTAAAGGCCCGATTTTATTCTTTTGAGAGATGTGAACGAGTGAATTAGTTACGGATGTTGAAATAGGAACTCGTACACATCAGAGCATTCGTGACTAATTACTCGTTCACATCTATCAAAAGAAGATAATCGCAAGTGCAAACGGGACTTAACTCAACATTTCACCGAAATCTTGACAATACCTTGCTGCGATTTCATGTGCGATTTTCTTCTTTTGAGAGATGTGAACGAGCGAATTAGTTACGGATGTTGAAATAGGAACTCGTACACATCAGAGCATTCGTGACTAATTACTCGTTCACATCTATCAAAAGAAGATAATCGCAAGTGTAAACGGGACTTAACTCAACATTTCACCGAAATCTTGACAATACCTTGCTGCGATTTCATGTGCGATTTTCTTCTTTTGAGAGATGTGAACGAGCGAATTAGTTACGGATGTTGAAATAGGAACTCGTACACATCAGAGCATTCGTGACTAATTACTCGTTCACATCTATCAAAAGACGAAAATCGCTAGTGTAAACGGGAGTTAACCCAACATTTCACCGAAATCTTGACATACCTTGATATCTTTACAGTCGTGACATTTAGCGATTCTGAACTGACAAAGATCTTTCTCGTGAGTTTCAATATCTCTTCTATTGACCTCTGTTTCACATCCCTCATTACGACACATGACAGGACCATATCCACATTCCTCGGCATGTCTTGGAAGATGTTCCAGACGAACGTAGTCAGGGCATCCTCGTTCATGATGATCACACTTGAGTCTAAGACGTTCCCAATAATTCTTCAGAAATCCTGTTGGTCGTCTTAAGGTTTCTTGAGTCAGAGGATCTCTGCAAACTGGACATGTTTGAGAGTTTTGAACGAGATGTTGTGATATATGAGCGAAACAAAATATATGATCTTTGTGTTGGCAAAGTCTGGGATCTTTTGGAACTTCCTGACAAATGGAACAAAGCAGATCCTCGCTGATTTCTCCTTGAAAACGATCCACGTCATAACCTTGCAAATCGTCTTCCCATCTCGCTGCCATTGGAAATGATCTAAAATGTAAAGCACAATTTAGACTACGTGCTTTCACCTGGCCTGGACCAGGGAGTCTTGAGGAATTAGAATATGTATATAACTTAACTATTAAATTCAAACCGGCGTCTCTTTCATCCGTACTTAGAGTAATTCTAGACTATATATTACAATGGAAACTCTGTATTAGATGTTGAAGAAGATGTTTCTAGTGCAAAGCATCTTGTATTCTTCACTAGCATATGACTTTATGTACAGGCCATTACACTTGTCAAATGATTTTTGCCCATTTCTGACAACAAAACAAACACTACCTGTTTCTTCAAGCGTGTTTACACTTCAGGGGCCGGTAAATTGTATCAAGCCCGTTTAGCTTAAACAGTGGATAGGTCAAAATTAAATAACACTCTTACATCTCTCTTGAATGAGTCAACTTGAATATTATGCACTGAATATGTAGTTGTAAACAGTATCTTTGTATTAAGGTTAAAAACATTTAGTGTGCTTGTTGAATAAAACGATAGACTTGCTTTCTATTTTGAACTTAATATAACCACCGCGTTTAAGCTAAACGCGCTTAATACAACCGGTCCCTGAAGTGTAAACACGGTTGAAGAAACGGGTAGTGTTTGTTGTCAAAAATGGGCAAAAATAATTTGACATGTGTTATGGCCTGTACATGAAGTCATATGCAAGTGAAGAATACAAAATATCTTCAACCACTGTCACTTGTAAAGAATACTTTGCACTAGAAACATCTTGTTCAACTTGTAATACAGAGTTGCTATTGCAATAGTCTTACTCTAAGTTCCTAACCTGCAAATTATTAATCATTATATAGCTACTAATCACTACACAGACCCTAATCATTCAGTTATTCTAACATCTTGGCACATGCAGAGGGGGTAAGTTGAATGCATGATTATACAACAGTAAAAAGAAGTGTAAATTATGCTCATGGGTAAAAATACCCCTAACTCCCAAACCCTGTTTGTCTCCCCTTTCGATCATCATGCAGGCTTTAAAGTGCAAACAATTAATTACAGTGCAAGAGGATATCAGTCTGACTGGCAGAACCAGTGAACTTGAATAAAACTGGAACACTCACTCTGTCGGAAGTTTGAACCTGAGATGGCGGACACTGAAGCCTTTTCTTGTAGGTATGACCCAGGCCTCCACACGGAATAAAATGGCAGCAATCATAATTTTACCGTGCCAAAGGCCTGGATCATACCTACAAGAAAGGCTTCATGATCTGCCATCTTGGCTTCACTCATTAATGAGGGAATATCAGAGGGGAGCATTCCAGTCTTTTTTGAGTTAACTGCATGGGAAGAACTATATATATATATATATATATATATATATATATATTATAATATATATATATATATATATATATATATATATATATATATATATATATATATATATATATATATCTCAAAGCTCAAGTCCAACTCAAAGCCAGCAAGAACCAGATAAGGTTTACCACATGAACTGCAGACAACAAGCTAACTACCTCGAATGCAGGGATGGGTTCAATAGACGGTCTTAGGGGCCGGGGGGTGCATATCCTTAGCGTAGACCAGAGAGAGTGCAGGCAGAGTGCAAATTTGGGTATGACTATGTAGAAAAACTCATATTTGTACCTAATTATATATTAAATATTTTGGTGTACTGTGGAGTTTAGAATTTTGACCACAGCTCTGAAAATCTATGCAGCACATATATAAATATTTTATAACCAAAGCTGCTCAAGATCTAGTTAGACAGTCCCCTCCTGGTATAAATTTGGTAATTATCAAAATCAGATGGGGCTGTTTACATCCGACCCAATCTAGTAATAAAAATGACCAGATCTGGACACATTGAGCAGCATCTCATATTAAGGAATTTGTCATTAAACAAACACAAACTCTAATATCCCTTACACCCACCCTGTGGCTGGATCAAGGCAACACCCCCTCACCACAACCACAGTTATTAGAATATACATGGTTTGGAGACTAAATAAAAGTACAATACAACTCATTAACTATGTTATTGTCCAGGTTTATGCAAAAAATGGTTCCTTATCCAACACATGTCTATGTGTATTTTTGCCAAACTAACCAATAGCAATGGCTTGGCTTAGCTCCTCAACCGTGACTTGAACAACATGTTAATTCAGACCTTACTATTGGTTTATTTGTTCAAAATACAATAGACACATGACGAATAAATAACATTTTTTTGCATAAATGTTCCCCAACATAGTTAATGATCGAGTTCTATTGTAGTTTTATCATTTTATGTAGTCTCTAAACCATGTACGTATAATCTATTAACTGTGCCACAACCAATCTAACCTAGCTAAATGAATATGATCTCAAGTTCGGGTCCAGAGAAACATTTGAAGCATTGGATTTTGCCTTTTGGAGGAATATTTGTCCTGCTTCCTCTTATTATATAAAAGCCTTGTCAGTTCACATATGACAGCGGGTACGTGAACCATCGACTTTTCGTTCCGCATCAGACAAACCGAAACCGGATAATTTTGAAAAGAATTTAGGCAACGACAGATATAAACAATTAAAACACAAACAATTTCTCGCCTGTAATTTTAAATAGATGTCCAAATTAACTCACCAGGGATTCTTTCAAATTCGTAAAACAGAATACTCTCGTAAAATGAAAGCGGAAACCATAGTAGCGTCACCAAATATTATTATCCACAATCGATCTGCAAAGAAAATAAATAAATACAATAAATCTACACAGAAAATAAATAAACACAAAAAGTTGCGTTTGATTGACCGTAGAATAAGAAAAAACTTACCATATAGGATTCTCGGCGAAATGTTTTGTTTGAGTTCCCAAAAATGTTGGAAAATGTTACAAATTGCTCGCACGTTGTTACAATTACATTTCCTGAAATTAGCATTCCAAGAATTGTGCTTCCACATGAAGAAATAAAATTGAAATCTTCATTTTCTTCCAAGTGGAATGCGTCAATCTTGTATGATCTTGTTCTTAGTACAACGGGCTCAGTTCTTTAGAAAGCGCTGCTTTTTACCGAAGAAGCCGATATTTACAAAAGATATCCGCTGAGAATTCGAGCCCGCACGAGTGGTAAAATTTTCTCTAATTTGGATCAATGTGGGTAAATTGTGACATTACAAAGTAATCAAAAGCAACTCATTCGTATGAACTAGCATAACGGTGAACAAAATGCTCGAAAAATAAAACACCAATACCACAATCGCATTACTATTTATTAAAGCGAGATATCTCAAAAACCTGACAACAATTAAATGAATTAATTGCTCTTGTCAGTTCAACAAGAGTTGATATCTAAACACTCATAACCATGACAAAAAAATAGAAAGTTCAGATCTACTCCTTAAAATGGCCTTGAATCAAATTAGGCTATCCTCTTAAATCACCCAGACTTGCCATTTTCATGAAAAAATCGTTTTTCATGAAAGACCTAATGAAATCCTAGAAATTCAGGCGATTTTGAAGAAGTAGATCGACAATTCCGTTGTGTTTAGTCGGACTCTGACGTGGGTGCCACGGCAACTGATTTGAACTCTTTAATAAACTTTTTCAAAACTTCCAGAACTCTTTTATTCGTTGGATCACCTTCACCGCTGTGACAATGGCTGGAGAGCATCATTTTTTCATTGACGTTTGGATTGTGAATCACAAAACCCCCGCTCAGCTTGAAAAATCCCTCCAAATCGCACAGCTGTTTGTACATGGTGCATTCCCCGTCGGGCGGTGTCATCCAGTTGACGATGTTTTGGAGATCAGTGACAGTTTTCGCTTTGGCACCGGCGGTCGTCTGGTATTCCATGATTTCGGAGATCATCGTATCTTCCGTGTTCTTAAACACGTGTTCGTTGAATCGGACCAGTTTTGCCTGCCCCTCCGGAATCCATTCCTCGAGGTAGCCCTTGCACGTGGTCTTCACGGGATCAGTCTCCTCCTTGCATTTCAAATTATCGGTTATTATCTTGCTGTATTTAACAACGCTCAGCTTCTCCTCTGAGCCGTGAACGGAATCATGGAATCGAATGCTCGATTTTACCAAATCGGCACAACCTAAAAACAAACAAACAACAGAGCAATTGTTAATCAAATAATCCATGTTCAGTATTAAATCCGACAAAAACGAATTTAATCCTTGAGATTTGGGTTTGGATTAGATTTAGGATTACGGTTAACTATAATCATTCATAATCCCAATCTAGGTTATAGTCCTAATCTTAATCTCAGACCCAATCATAATCCCAACCTAAGATCTAGTCCTAATCTTAATCTCAAACCTAATCTTAATCTCAGACCCAATCATAATCCCAAGCTAAGATCTAGACCTAATCTTAATCTCAGACCCAATCCTAATCCTAATTTATTATAGAAGAATTGCTAAATTTTCAGCGCTATATTGCCACATTTTTAAACATTTCACGAGCCAAACTTCCCAATTTACTAATTTTGGAATGCTTCTTCAGCTGTGAAACCAAACTCACCACTTTCGAGTTTGCAAACCCGCAATTCAAAGCCATCATTTGGTTCCTTCAGCTCACAACCAAACAAGCTTTCATCAGGAATACTGTCTTTCACTTTGCAGAAGGTATTGTAATCGATGTTTTCCGACTTTTCACTCTCGCTTACGACCGCAGCCCGAGGCGTGGCGAAGTCAAGTCCGCCTTCTTCCGGAGCGCTCGTTCCCATTGCTCCAAGAAACATTAGACTCAAACATATCATAAAATGCAGCGAAATCATCTGAAAAACCATGTTTCTTTCCTAAAATAAGGACTCTTTTTAAATTAGATAGCTCTGTCGTTCCAAAAGATCGGCACTGATTGGTCCAGTTTTACTGCAGGGGGAAATATTAACTAAACTAACTTTTTTTAAACTCTCTATTTAGTTTAGTTTAGGTTTACTCCTGTAGTAACACTGATCAATAAGAGATGATCCTTACTGGACCTCTAGGAAGAACAGTTTAGAACTGATAGAGCTATCCAGTATAAATAAAGTTAGTTTAGTTTAGGTTTCCTCCTGTAGTAATACTGGATCAATAAGAGATGATCCTTACTGGACCTCTAGAAAGAACAGTTACTGATAGGACTATCCAGTATAAATAAAGTTACTTTGGTTTAGTGGTAACACCGGATCAATAATCCTTACTGCAACTCTAGGAAGAACAGTTTAGAACTGATATCCAAACAACATACAAGAGATTACATACGATTTGTTAAAAAAGATCAAACAAACAACTTTTTAACAAACTTACAGTATACATAATCGGTGTTCCCACAATTTTATGGTACGGAAATTCAACGACCATTCGAAGGTAGAAAACTGCTTACAAAATGTTCGCTTCAAAATGTGAACTGCTCGAAATACAAAGCGTTCTAAAACAACAGCAGAACAGCGCGACAGTTAAAGATTCATTTAATCAATGGCAATGCGATATACCCCTTGGGAAGACATCATTCATTTTTGTATTGACTTGGGCTAACTCCCGTAGCTAGGATGAATATTACCACAAGTTGAAAGATATTTTTTTGCTGGTGAAATACAATAGTTTCTCCACAAGGAGCACAGGTGGCTGATGAAGCATTTTTGGCTATTTTTACTCTGTTTAAACTTTTTCCATAGCAAGATTTTTTTCAAAAATCAGAATTTAGGAAACAATTATCGAGGTTTTCTTTTGAGCTGATTGATTTCGGACATGTTTTCGGACCTTTGTTTTCAACGATCAAATGTGTTTCAAAAAGTGTCTGGGTAAATAAAGGACAAAAAACCGAAGCCATATAAGATTTGTTGAAATTTTCAGCAAAAAAATATTTTCCATTTTTTTATCTTTATATATATGACGGATTAATGCATGTAAAAAATACTTTTAAGCACATGCCACTTTTGAAAAAAAATATTGAGCTCTCAATATATAAATTAAACTTAACAATGAAAGGATTGTGAATTGATTTGGAAACGGATCCTGTCTGACTCTGGTCGTAACACCAACCAATCATTAAACGAATTATAAATCGATAGATATTATAGAATAGTTTGTTGGCAGATATCCTAGCATTTTTTTTATATATACATTCATCATCTTTTGGTAAACTACCAGGACATTGCTGTACTGGTTGTGCACTGTTAAATCCCAGCGAGGCACTTTATGCTTCGTAATTCCTATTAACTTGTTCAACGCTCGTCAAAGGTTCTTGTTTAGTAAAGCAACAAAGGTCGATGTAACTCTTATGTAAACTCTCGCTTGTCAACTCTCATGCGACTCTTGTTCTCGTTTGATCTATATAGCAATGATAGTTGATGAAACTCTCATGTAAACTTTCGCTTGTCAACTGTCATGCAACTTTTGTTCTGGTTTGATCAAGCAATGATAGTTGATGAAACTCTCATGTAAACTCTCGCTGTCAGCTCTCATGCAACTCTTGTTCTCGTTTGATCAAGCAATCATAGTTGATGAAACTCTCATGTAAACTTTCGCTTCTCAACTCTCATGCAACTCTTGTTCTCGTTTGATCAAGCAATGATAGTTGATGAAACTCTCATGTAAACACTCGCTTGTCAATTCTCATGCAACTCTTGTTCTCGTTTGATCAAGCAATGATACTGGATGAAACTCTCATGTAAACTCTCGCTTGTCAACTCTCATGCAACTCTTGTTCTCGTTTGATTATAAAAGCAATGATAAATGATGAAACTCTCATGTAAACTCTCGCTTGTCAACTCTCATGCAACTCTTGCTCTCGTTTGATCAAGCAATGATACTGGATGAAACTCTCATGTAAACTCTCGCTTGTCAATTCTCATGCTGTCATGCAACTCTTGTTCTCGTTTGATCAAGCAATGATAGTTGATGAAACTCTCATGTAAACTCTCGCTTGCATAACCTCTCATGGCAACTCGCCCATGGCAACCGTTTATTCATGCATGAGGTCGCTAAGCAACACTTCAAATTCCCGGTAAACCGCTAAATTTCCGTTCAAATTCCCGGTAAACCGCTAAAGTTCGCACTTTCGATTTGAACGCGATATAGCAATTCATACCGACTAAACCGTAAAGTCATCGGCTCGCAAACGTGGTCGAAGCAATGGTTTTTAATTGGGAAACGGTTGACTTTGAAAATGATCAGATGGAATACTGTGAAGAAGATATCACTGGATATTTTCGAGCCTCAAAGAAGTACGTTTACCATATTGTTACAATTTCGACGCTCGCTTTATCGATTTGCGCGGTGTTAATGATACAAGAGGGCAACATCGATGATACTTTGACAGAAAGGCACAAAGAGATTGTATCTCTTCGATTGAAGATTACACCGTGTCTAGTGAACGGTACATATCCAATATTTTTAAAACGAATTTCTCAACTTCTAGAAAAAATCGAGGCGATTAAGTCGAGCAAAACGCGACTTATTGCTGAAGTGGAATCCGCGTTGGCGAACAATATTAGCGATGCCAAAACAATGTTAAATAAACGTTTGACTGTTCTGCAAAGTCAGGTCTCGAGCTTGAAAACCAATGTAAATAAACTTCAAACGAATTTTGCAAACTTTAAAGACTTGATAGGAGCGAGATTTACAAAGGTTTGGGAAAAATTTGACAAAATAGAAGCGGAAATTGCGAAAAAGCGTGGTCAATAACAGAAGCAGGTCGCTATAACTTGGGTTATCTACACTTGATATATTGCAAAACGTTACAATGTTACAAAACATGGGTCACAGAATCCATTTAATAGACGATGGTATTGTCTATTGATAAATAATAAACAATGAACTTGTATTCCAGGCGAAATATAAGTGTCGCTTTGTAACAGACCATGTTTAAAAGAACCGTATTTGTCCGATTAAAGTTAGCTACTTCTGATGTATGGAATGTAGTATGTTGATTGATAAAGCGGTACTGCACTGGTTTTAGTTGTTTTGCTGTCTATATACATTACACGACATTAGCCTACAAAACATCTATCAAAAGCTATGGAATAAGGCAAAATTAGGTCGCATGTACTAACTTATAAAAGCATGGATTTGAGATGGCTGATTTACAAAGAAACTTGGAAGGTCCGTTATTGACTTGACCGATATTACATAGCAATTAATTAATCAATTGAAATACATACAAATTCATATTGAATTGTATTGGCTTTTGCGATGTTAATTGAGAATAATTGATACGCTTGGCTTGGGGCGGAAGAAGCTTTTTTGCATGACTAACCATTTACAAGACCATAAAATTAATGTAACAAAAAACAATACAGACGAGATTGTTTATTGAATGTTGTAAATATTGCTCGTCTTTCCATATGGAGGTACCGGAGTTGATGACTATATTCAGACAGAAATTCTCTCAACAATCGCATGAAGTTCGATGCTCGATAAAACGCAATAAAATTGAAGAAGGTGATAATATAGAGCTATTTGACTCTTGAAACGGTTCTAAAATGCCAGATATATCATTAATTGACCCTTCTTAAGGTTCTGTTACATATGTCGATGAGATTCGTTTTGGACACTCCGAAGTTAAATTTTACCCAGCAACGACTCCCCCGTAACCTTTTATCAAATTACCCAATTCCCGGGGGGTTAATGCGCATGTGTCGTTGAGTTCCGTTTGTGGGTGTTTCCAGGAAACACACGCTGCTTTTCCAGGTAATTTCCTTGGCAAACATTTCACAAGCGCGCTTTAAATTGTATTCATTGAAAAATTCCACTATTCCAGCAAAAATGGGTGAGGAACGAAGACCTCCGATTCAAGAACGAAGAGTAGAAGGAGGCCGTTGTTCGACATGTATTGAATGCTTTCAAAACATTCGGTGGAAAATGATATTCGAAAATCTTTCTATTTTGGCGACATTTGCCTCGATCGGATTGGCAATTACAGCCATAGTGCTTGCTGCCGGGTAAGTTTCATATTTAACTTAGATATTTCACGATTGTTGCAATCGATATCGTTTTGAAATGTTGTTTCAGAACTATAAATAAAAGCAAACTTTGTTGGCGACACTCGTAGAATATAAAAAAATGACATGTGTCGTTGCTCGGCAATACTGTTTATGTTTTGTTCATAGTTAAAAGGGAATTTGAACTAAATCGTCTCCGACCATATATGAATAAATACGTTAGTTTGGTGTTGTGATTGCTAAGATGTGCTTTATAAGGCGAAAACTCTCACAAATCATGTCAGTATGCACGATTGGGTACATTTTACATATGTATTACGGCTGTTACATGAGCCCAGTTATCCAACATGAGATGATTTTGAGGTATTGAAAAAATGTTTTTGATACCAAACAAGTACATGCTATTATTTATTAATGACTACAATGCTGCCAGGATCATATTATATGCTCATTTCAATACCTCAAAGTCATCTCACGCTTCGCTGAATCTCGGCTGAGGATCATAAAAACAACCCCTTAACGTGTGCTTAAATGTGAAGTGTTGGGTGTTTAAAATTAATTAAAATTGCGAATGACTTTAACAAGTTGACCGGCTTCCTAGCAGCCGTAACGACGGATGAAAGAGCTCGAGATGCCGGTTTGAATTTATTATAAACAAGACGCCTACTCAGGCGATCACTCGGGCTACAGTTATCTCGTAGTAACATGGCATGTTCGTGACACCCGCGCGAGAAACGATCCTAGGACGATTTCGATTGGTTCGAAGACTTCGTACTGCCCACGCGTGATTTTTGTAAACTCGCGACGCAAGACAGAAAACCGAGCCCATTTTACAACTCGGTGTACCTACGGTAGCCCGAGTAATAATATTCCTATTTTAATTCCTCAAGACTCCCCCGTCGCACCTCTGACCTCTATGTGAACTGGAACGATAACTCGGCCGCCATCTTGGCAGCTTGATCCGAATTGAGGAACCAAGATGGCGCCCAGAGGCCAGTTATATAAAAAAGAGAAGTTAACATTTAACTGTAGTTAAGGACAGAATTGGCCACTCAGAGTCGTGTATTTCTGAGTTAAAGAGTTTTATAACACCAGCCACAGATTCTGTTATCGTTCCAGTGTATATAGAGATCACTGGATAGTATACAGATATAACCAAAATATATCCAGTGTATTATCAGATCAGTGGCATGGCTCATCTGTTTTTAATTTCTATAGAGACATAACAAAACTTGGCGAAAATGAAAACGAACTGGATTCTGTCAGAGAGGAAATAAATGAATGTTGGAACAACACGTATGAAAGAATTCAAAGTCTTTCGAGGAAAATCGATGAAATTGACGCGAGCCTCAACGATCTGATCGCCCAAACAAAATCCACTTTGGAAAACAAGATTACCAACGTTAAAAGTAGTCTGACCTCATGGATAATAGGTGTACAGAACCAAGTCTCTGATATGAATACGAATGTGGATAAAGTTCAGACAGGTCTGGAAAGTTTTGAAGATTCGACGAACAGTGAATTTTCAAAACTGTGGAAGAAATTTAAGGAAGTTGACAATGAGATCGCGAATCTTCCACAAAATAAAGGAAGCTTGAAAAATACGAGTGGAGAAAAAATTTGCGCCATATTTATAATTGTATATTGTAGTTATATGCACATATTTCAACTATAAAATTAATTTTAGTGCGAGAAAATACCTTGGTGAAACATTTGCATTGCATTGGCGATGTGTTTATGTTTTTCTATGTTTTTTTAAAAAAGATTTTTAGCTTCAAGTCTATATTAAAAGTCTAACATAACAGCTTGTATAGAACTGTTAGATCAGAACTCTATATAAACTGGAATAATAACTACGCCACTATCTTTGAGTCCGATTTGAAGCCGAATTACAGGACTAGTGCCAATCCTTTTTTTGCTTATGTAGGCGCGGTTGACGACCGCGCTTACACAAACGATCAAAAAGGGAATGGCACTGGTGTATGATTCGGCTACAAATACGATTGGTCTCAAAAATGGCGGCCAAATAAACAGCAGTTATCATTCCAGTTTAAATCGAGTTCAGCGGAGTAAGGTTGACAATTTCCCTCACTCCAGGTAAAATATCCAAAATAGCGTGCGCTGAATGATGCAAATAACGTGCGCTGATTGGCTGTTCGTCGATCTGGAATCCACGATGATTGGCCCGCTGTAGTGTTCTAATTTTTTATATTCCCAAATATGGAATAATGGTTCAGTTTGCATAAATTCTATTAATGTCAAAAGAGCCGTACTTTTTCTTGGAATATCTTTGCAATTAAATTTCAATTACATTTCTTTCACATCGGCGCTGAGTTTTTGCAAAGTCCACATTTTATCGACGTTTTGTAGTCGTTTTTACCGCTTTCAATAACAATATAAATCATTCTTATTGAGAGCATTTCAATTATATTTTGTATAATACAAATGATTTCAGGTGGCTTCTGTACAAATTATTCAAATATCCAAGGATACGGTTTTGATTAATCTTTAGGATACAGTTTCTTCAAGAATTGCCTAGGCTCGTACCCAATTCCGTTAAAAGCTTCAAAGTAATCGTCGATAAGACTGTTTTCAATCTGAAAACCAATTGCAAATGGGCATTAGTTGATTATTTTACTCTGTCTAATGCCAGATGATTTTACTCATCAGTGGAAGAGTACTGTCAGTTAATAAGTTAACAAAACTATCTGTCAGTGTTTCTTGTTAGCCCATTAGCTTGCAATGCATGCACCCAGATGTGGCCTACTTTAGTATTTGACTCTGTCTAATGTCAGATGATTTTACTCATCAGTGGAAGAGTATTGTCAGTTAATAAGTTAACAAAACTATCTGTCAGTGTCTCTTAATTGTTAACCCATTAGCTTGCAATGCACCCAGATGTGGCCTACTTTAGTATTTTACTCTGTCTAGTGCCAGATGAATTTACTCATCAGTGGAAGAGTACTGTCAGTTAATAAGTTAACAAAACTATCTGTCAGTGTCTCTTGTTAACCCATTAGCTTGCAATGCACCTAGATGTGGCCTACTTTAGTATTTTACTCTGTCTAATGCCAGATGAATTTACTCATTAGTGGAAGAGTACTGTCAGTTAATGAGTAAACAAAACTATCTTTCAGTGTCTCTTGTTAACCCATTAACTTGCAATACACCCAGATGTGACCTACTTTAACAAGAGTATTAATAGCAGTAAGTTTAAAAATCATTAAACATGAAATTTTACCTTTCTATTGAGGACAATCTCTATGTCATCTTGACTGACATAAGCATGTAAATTGTCATTTTCTGATTGGTCGGGCAGAACAGCATAATGAGGTTCCAGTCTTTTTTCCTGTTTTAAAAAAAATATAATTGCAATGAGTATGACAAATCATTCATTTACAAAATGATCCTGCAACATATTATATTATCAAGAAAATATAATATACATATTTCATAGTAATCTGTCTGTAAGTCATTTGACTTGTGTTTACTTACTGCAGCTTCCCTGCCATATACATTTTCAAGCCAGGTATCAGTTGCCTGAATTAAAAACAATAAGTTTTATTACAGGAAAAAACGAAAACTAAACTAACTTTATTTATACTGGATAGCTCTATCAGTTCTAAACTGTTCTTCCTAGATGTCCAGTAATGATCATGTCTTATTGATCCAGTGTTACTACAGGAGGAAACCTAAACTAAACTAGCTTTATTTATACTGGATAGCTCTATCAGTTCTAAACTTTTCTTCCTAGAGGTCCAGTAAGGATCATCTCTTATTGATCCAGTGTTACTACAGGAGGAAACCTAAACTAAACTTACTTTATTTATACTGGATAGCTCTATCAGTTCTAAACAGTTTAATTCATTACCCTGGCATGATCGTCCCAGCCAACAATGACGCCATGGTAACCAGCAGACTTGTGCAAAAATACTTGACCAATCCTATACTTCATTTTAGGAGGTCTTTCATGTCTCGGTCGAGGGCTATTGGCAAAATACCCGACATTGCTACGATATTTCATCACTTCCACTGCGACGCATTCACCTCTGTTGTCTGTCAGGTAAAACCATAGCCTTTTCAACTCGTCCAGCCATGTTTTTGGTTGAATCCATTTTTTACCAAAATCACTCAAGGTAGTTACAAGCCTACAAAAGCAAATACACTGTTGAAAACTATGCTAGATTTGATCCTTGAAGAATTAGCTTGCAATGCACCCAGATGTGACCTACTTTAGTATCTTACTCTGTTTAAAGTCAGATGATTTTACTCATCAGTGGAAGAGTACTGTCAGTTAATAAGTTAACAAAACTATCTGTCAGTGTCTCTTGTTAACCCATTAGCTTGCAATGCACCCAGATGTGACTTACTTTAGTATTTTATTCTGTCTAATGCCAGATGATTTTACTTATCAGTGGAAGAATACTTTCGGTTAATAAGTTATCAAAACTATCTGTCAGTGTCTCTTGTTAACACATTAGCTTGCAATGCACCCAGATGTGACCTACTTTAGTATTTTACTCTGTCTAATGTCAGATGATTTTACTCATCAGTGGAAGAGCACTATCAGTTAATGAAATTTATAAACCTAATTAGTCTTTAGGCGGCTCTACAACGCCAAGAAGCTGAACTAAGGTTCCATGTTTAGTGAAATATTTCAACGACGAGTCACTTGAAACGTTAAATTTATAAACAAAACTCACTTTCGGACTTTGATGGAAGAATCGTTGGTGGTTTGTGAGCTCCAAATTGTAATCAAATATTGAGCCGGGATTGCGAGCAATAAGACGAGCAATTGGACTACAGGACGAGCCATTTATGGCTTGAATTATACAAGCAGATGTGAATCATAAACATCTTTTTCAATAAAGAAAACTTTTTCAAGTTTTTGACGAATCAATTTTGTACACGAGTAACAATTCTCTCATTAATTGCAACACGAAGGAAACTTGCAAATTCCTTGAATAAAAAGTTGAAATTCCTGGTACGATTTCAGTATAATTGTAAGGCATTTTTTTGAATTCCAATTTTCAAGGAAGAATCTCCTAAAACGCAGACATCGTTTTGTTTTGATACTCATGCTTTGTCTTTCATGAAGTATTTTAAATGGATTTCACCGCTGCACTATAGTTAATAATTTCATGTTCAGAATATAATCCTTGATTCTAATCCTTTGATATAATCCTTGATTTTAATCCAAGTTAATGAGTTCACAAAATAACGCGTTAGTATTTTACTCTGTCTACAAAATAACTAAAAAAGGAGCTTCTAATATCGGCGTTATTAAGTGTTTGAGGTCTGTTGTTTCATCAGAAACATACCTTATCCCTTATACCTTATCTGTCAAGCTCTATAATACAACCCCACTACAATACCTTACAGTTATTTGCAAGCCAACGTTAATCCTGAAGTTTTTGTCACGTTTGTTTACGTTTCAAACGTTTCGGTTTAACCGGAATACGGAAAGCACATGAAATTAGGACGCGGCACGAAATCCAGCCGGCGAAGCAAATGCAAAAACACGAAAGCGAGGCAAATGCCACACAAAAATCTCAAAACGACATAGCATCCAGCCGTGACGTGACAATTAGGAAGCGTTCCTCTTCATCGAACGCAAAAATCCTCTAGCAAAGAGATACTTTATGTAATATTTTAATAATATTTATTACCCATTTTAGATTGAAAATATATACAATGGGTTTACAATCGATTTTAATCTGAATTACAACTGTTGACTTTTGTTGCAACGACTTTTATCAATGTGAGTTCAAGTGTTTAAGTTAAATTATACTTCAAATACGCCGCATTCTTGTTACTCGGACAACCGTAGGTAGACCAAGTTGTAAAATGGGCTCGGTGTTTTTTTGCGTCGCGAGTTTACAAAAATCACGCGTGGGCGGCACGAAGTCTTCGAACCAATCAAAATCGTCCTAGGATCGTTTCTCGCGCGAGTGTCACGAACATGCCATGTTACTACGAGATAACTGCAGCCCGAGTGATCGCCTGAGTAGGCGTCTTGTTACTCCGGCGTCAGCGACGGAGTTGAAAATTCGCCTCGGTTTTGTTTTGTTGTTGTTTTTTTTTTTATTTTTCGTCGTCGCAAGTCATCCTCGTCCCCAGGGCCTAGCTCCGTTGCTCTCCACATAGGCCCTGGGGACGAGGATGCGTCGCAAGTCTGAAATGGCGCGAAACATTCTAGTATTTGAAACGTGTATGTAATCGTATTTATCTACGTCTCAGTCTTATCTCCCAAGAGTTGTGGTGCACAGCTTTGGCTAATTTTCCAATGCGCGATTCGATTTCGCTCGCATTATACGGCAATTCTTCCAAGAGGAACAAATAAACCGTTATTTTCATGCTGTTCGATTAAGTTTAGATTGAATTGGGGTAAGAATATATTAATACATGTTGATTCTGGTCCTATTTTAATGATATCACTGCTATTTCGCCGTTTAACAAGATGATGTGGTCGTGTATGGGCGCGTTCACACGTCGTAGTTTGCACAGGATTGAAGATTTAATATAACTATATAAGCGCGAATTCCAAAGGCAAAGTGTAAGACAAAGCGAATGTATCATGCGGTTTATTTACATTTTTGAACAATTGAACTTCTATACTTTTTAAAGTACGATGTGCTTCTGAATTTCGCGATCGAACATTTATAATTATAGGTTCGCGAATATAGATGCGAATATGAACTGTATTGTTTATGTTCAGAAGCTCTATATTAAAGACTGGCACGTGCGCCGGAGTTAACGCCAGAACAGGCGTCTTGTTTAGCATTAAATTTGCTATAATAATACAAATGGCAATTGTTAAATGTAACATGACAAACTAGACTGATGTGCCATCCTTTGGATGGTACTTTTACTACTTTGCTACACATAAACCACCTCATGTCATTAGGGTTGATTTCATAAGCTAAAATGCTTATGAATTGATGATTGTTTGAATTCTCTTTCAGAGCTCTAAACAACAACCATCTGTAACAAATTGCTCAAATACAAAACAATAAAATTCGCTTCGCCAAAAAAATATCGCCACGCGGTTTGTGGAAAACCTGCGTTGTTTTAAGCTGTCTCCGTACACAGAACTTTTGCATTCTCATACTCTCTGGAGTAAAATTCTCTTCGACATGAAAATGTCAAATATTTATATATGATTTAAAACTAAATCTAGGAAGTACAATTCAAATCAAACTATGGTTCACGTCGGTTCCAAATCATTTCATTCTTTTAACAAAGCCGTGCCAATGCAAGCTACAATTGTATCCATACATATCAGTCAGGAAGCTGTCCACAGCGTAGAATTCCTCGTGGTCTTGTAAGAATCTTTTGAAACACTGCAACTGCTTCGGTCCCACGGGAGTGGAGACGCCACTTTCGGCGATTTTCGAATCAACTTGCAAGACAAGATCCGGGCCAGTGTCTTCGACAACCATGTAATCTCCCTCTTTCATGTAGCGATGAAAATGCTCTAAGACACCGTCTAGGTTGGCGTGTGCATCTTCAGAGAAGACCCAAGGGTGGGGAAGGCTTTTCATGAACTCGTCTGTGAAAGTTTCTTCGATTTTATGCGAGTCTCCTTGAAGGAAAGTGACATTCTCCGGCTTCAACTTGTTCACGAGTTCACTGCGATTGCTCGCATCTATATCCATGCTGTAAACATTAGCTTCGACATCAAGCAAGCAAAGTGTGTCAGATATCCATACCGCCATACCGCCTGAGAGGGTTCCCAATTCGATCACGGTTTTCGGTCTGACAAGCTAAAAAGTTGCCGATACAAAACATAATCCACGGGACACTTGCATATATCAAAACCACGGTAGGTTGGTATATGTTTTCCGAGACTTGTATTAACTCTAGCTTGCAAAGGCACATCGGTGCGGTCCTCTCGTTCGCTAATTCTTTGAAAACGCTTTGAATTTTTCAAGAGTTCCTCTCGCTTCAAAGCCTGTCTTCTGCGAAGATCTTTGTATGACTCTGGATCGTTTATACTTATCGCCCTTGATGTAAACTTCATTCGCTGATGAGGACGAGAAAGAGTTCTGAGCAGACATATTCACTCGACTTTTCAAACAAAAAGCCGTATGCGGAAGTGCTCGACCGTGAAATAATTGCAAATTTCTAGTAAATGCCAAAGTTCAATCTTTCCCAGACATACAGATTAAGATTAGAGTTTGGATTAGATTATGGTGGATTAGTAAAAATTTAGAGCTCTCAAACGAGTAAATACGATATTCATGCTCAACACATTAGCTTCGACATCAAGCAAGCTCACACTAGTGGAAAACTTGTGTTGTTTTACGGTATTTCTGACCAAAGAACTTTTCCGTTCGGTTGATAATGTCAAAGCAATCAAGTTATCATATTTTCTGGGGTAAATTTCGCTTTGATATTGCTAATTTAGATGTCGTGACCACGAAAAACTAGTGTGGCGTATTATATTATTAAAACGCAACGCCTATATTTAAGCCTACTAAGATAGTATAAGATAGTACTACTTTTAATTTAAATTATTAGGTATAGGTATATCGTAGCAGATAGTTAAGTGTCCCCAATTAGTAGAGGAAATTTTCCTCAGCTAGATGTATACTGACACAGATATAAAGTCTTTATTATTATTAATATTATTATTATTATTATTATTATTTGATTATTCGAAATATTTCATTTCAATACATCGCATAAAACTTGCATTAAACGCCGTTGAAATGATTAGATAATTATTTAGCGAAACTGTTATTGTTACGATAAAATAATTGCATCAGAAAATGTTCAAAATTATTGTTTTATTGTATTAAAAGCTCAGACGTGTAACGTATGAATAACAACGTATGTAGCAATACTAAAAGATTAAAAAATATATCAAATATTCCTTTAAAACTAAATGAAGAAAGTACAGTTTGCTAAAAGTACGGTTCACGTCGGTTCCAAATCATTTCATTCTTTTAACAAAGCCGTGCCAATGCCAGCTACAATTGTATCCATACATATCAGTCAGGAAGCTGTCCACAGCGTAGAATTCCTCGTGGTCTTGTAAGAATCTTTTGAAGCATTGCAACTGCTTCGGTCCAACGGGAGTGAAGCTGCCACCATCGTCGGTTTTTGAATCAACTTGCAAGACAAGATCCGGGCCAGTGTCTTCGACAACCATGTAATCTCCCTCTTTCATGTAGCGATGAAAATGCTCTAGGACACCGTCTAGGTTGGCGTGGGCATCTTCAGAGAAGACCCAAGGATGGGGAAGGCTTTTCATGAACTCGTCTGTGAAAGTTTCTTCGATTTTATGCGAGTCTCCTTGAAGGAAAGTGACATTCTCCGGCTTCAACTTGTTCACGAGTTCACTGCGATTGCTCGGATCGATATCCATGCTGTAAACATTAGCTTCGACATCAAGCAAGCCAAGTGTGTCAGATATCCATACCGCCATACCGCCTGAGAGAGTTCCCAATTCGATCACGGTTTTCGGTCTGACAAGCTCAAAAAGTTGCCGATACAAAACATAATCCACGGGACACTTGCATATATCAAAACCACGGTAGGTTGGTATATGTTTTCCGAGACTTGTATTAACTCTAGCTTGCAAAGGCACATCGGTGCGGTCCTCTCGTTCGCTAATTCTTTGAAAACGCTTTGAATTTTTCAAGAGTTCCTCTCGCTTCAAAGCCTGTCTTCTGCGAAGATCTTTGTATGACTCTGGATCGTTTGCGTACGGTGGATTATACTTATCGCCCTTGATGTAAACTTCATTCGCTGATGAGGACGAGAAAGAGTTCTGAGCAGACATATTCACTCGACTTTTCAAACAAAAAGCCGTATGCGGAAGTGCCGACGACCGTGAAATAATGCAAATTTCTAGTAAATGCCAAAGTTCAATCTTTCCCAGACATACAGATTAAGATTAGAGTTTGGATTAGATTATGGTGGATTAGTAAAAATTTAGAGCGCTCAAACGAGTAAATACGATATTCATGCTCAACACATTAGCTTCGACATCAAGCAAGCTCACACTAGTGGAAAACTGGTGGTGTTTTACGGTATTTCTGACCAAAGAACTTTTCCGTTCGGTTGATAATGTCAAAGCAATCAAGTTATCATATTTTCTGGGGTAAATTTCGCTTTGATATAGCTAATTTAGATGTCGTGACCACGCAAAACTAGTGTGGCGTATTATATTATTAAAACGCAACGCCTATTTAAGCCTACTAAGATAGTATAAGATAGTACTACTTTTAATTTAAATTATTAGGTATAGGTATATCGTAACAGATAGTTAAGTGTCCCCAATTAGTAGAGGAAATTTTCCTCAGCTAGATGTATACTGACACAGAAATAAAGTCTTTATTATTATTATTATTATTATTAATATTTTTATTATTATTTGATTATTCGAAATATTTCATTTCAATACGTCGCATAAAACTTGTATCCATACATATCAGTCAGGAAGCTGTCCACAGCGTAGAATTCCTCGTGGTCTTGTAAGAATCTTTTGAAACACTGCAACTGCTTCGGTCCAACGGGAGTGACGCTGCTACCATCGTCGGTTTTTGAATCAACTTGCAAGACAAGATCCGGGCCAGTGTCTTCGACAACCATGTAATCTCCCTCTTTCATGTAGCGATGAAAATGCTCTAAGACACCGTCTAGGTTGGCGTGGGCATCTTCAGAGAAGACCCAAGGATGGGGAAGGCTTTTCATGAACTCGTCTGTGAAAGTTTCTTCGATTTTATGCGAGTCTCCTTGAAGGAAAGTGACATTCTCCGGCTTCAACTTGTTCACCAGCTCGCTGCGATGGCTCGGATCGATATCCATGCTGTAAACATTAGCTTCAACATCAAGCAAGCGAAGTGTGTCAGATATCCATACCGCCATACCGCCTGAGAGAGTTCCCAATTCGATCACGGTTTTCGGTCTGACAAGCTGAAAAAGTTGCCGATACAAAACATAATCCACGGGACACTTGCATATATCAAAACCACGGTAGGTTGGTATATGTTTTCCGAGACTTGTATTAACTCTAGCTTGCAAAGGCACATCGGTGCGGTCCTCTCGTTCGCTAGTTCTTTGAAAACGCTTTGAATTTTTCAAGAGTTCCTCTCGCTTCAAAGCCTGTCTTCTGCGAAGATCTTTGTATGACTCTGGATCGTTTGCATAGGGTGGATTATACTTATCGCCCTTGATGTAAACTTCATTCGCTGATGAGGACGAGAAAGAGTTCTGAGCAGACATATTCACTCGACTTTTCAAACAAAAGCCGAATGCGGAAGTGCTCGACCGTGAAATAATTGCAAATTTCTAGTAAATGTCAAAGCTCAATCTTTCCCAGACATTCAGATTAAGATTAGAGTTTGGTTAGATTATGGTGGATTATTTAACCTTTATCCTAAACCTCACCCTAATCCTAACCTAAGCAGCTCTGACAACGTTTCACTTTGGCAAACACAATTTGACAATTCGGGTACGAATATGGAGTACTCCCCGATAATCAATTAATAAACAAAACTATCTGTCAGTGTCTCTTGTTAACCCATTAGCTTGCAATGCACCCAGATGTGACCTACTTTAGTATTTTACTCTGTCTAATGTCAGATGATTTTACTCATCAGTGGAAGGGTTAGAGTACTGTCAGTTAATAAGTTGACAAAACTATCTGTCAGTGTCTCTTGTTAACCAGTAGCTTGCAATGCAACCAGATGTGTCTTAGGCCTGTTTTCCACTTCAACCGTATCGTAACGTAACGTAGCGTATTTCTTTGTTTCCGAAGTATTCGACCAGAACTAATGACTTTAAAACAATGAGATACGCTACGTTTCGCTACGATACGGTGGAAGTGGAAAACAGCCTTTACTTTAGTATTTTACTCTGTCTAATGTCAGATGATCTTACTCATCAGTGGAAGAGTATTGTCAGTTAATAAGTTAACAAACAAAAACTATCTGTCAGTGTCTCTTGTTAACGCATTAGCTTGCAATGCACCCAGATGTGACCTACTTTAACAAGACTATTAATTCGATCTCCTAAGTATAAAAATCATTAAACATGAAATTTTACCTTTATATTGAGGACAATCTCGTGCACTATGTCATCTTGACTGACATAGCAAGTAAATTGTCATTTTCTGATCGGGCAGAACAGCATAATGAAGTTCCAGTCTTTTTTCCTGTTTAGAAAAAATAAAATTGCAATGAGTATGTCAAATCAAATAAGTTATTTACAACAGTGGCGTGCTGGCAGGGGGGGGGGGGCTGAGCGGTCCAAGGCTCCCCAGCGAAGGTTTTTCAGGGGGCGAAAAGGCATAACCGGGGGGAGGGCGAAATTGTACAAAATCACCGAAAGGCGAAAGCACACAGTGTCTGCACACATAAAAGCGTTACATCATTAAAGCGTTACATAACGATAATAATTACACATCGTCAACAGGTAGGTAGGCAGGTAGGCAGGTAAACTTTATTTAAAACCAAGAAACACGCTAGCCCCATCAACTCTAAGCTGGTTTCCATGAGGGGCGTGTTTAAATTAAAAAAAAACAGTTAACAAGACTACAAAACAGGACAATATACACACAGACAGTTTCACACATAGATAGATAAATTATATGAATAAGTAGGATGCGTTTCAGTGTCCAACAACGGTTGATTTAAACAAACGAAGCGACTCGGCTGATTTTGCTTCGTTTGGGAGCTGATTCCAAAGCATAGCGCCGCTATATTTGAAACTTTTTTTAAGGTACTCTCGATTCGGCCTAGGGAGACTTAAGCCCCATTTACACTACACTGAATTTATCGGCACGGCACGGCTAAAATGGGCACCCGTACCCAATTTTATTAGTGTTCAGGCTACCAAAACAAAGGCCGAGTACAGATGAAATGGGTACGGGTGCCCATTTTAGCCGTGCCGTGCCAATAAATTGAGTGTAGTGTAAACGGGGCTTTAGGTCTGTTGCAGAGTTTCGGAGATGATAATTAGTTTGATCAATTTCTCTTCTCACAAAAGACTCCCGAAGAGCCGGAGCAGTGTGTTCATTAAGTAAAGAGTACATCAATACTGGCACCAGACCGTCTAGTTTCAAGTGTGTCCCAAGAAAGATTGTTCAGAAGATCGATTGATGAAGTATCATTATTTGCATCAGTTAAGACCCTCGCTGCACGAAACTGAAATTTTTGCAACTTGTCTCTGAGCAGCTTACCACAAGTATCCCACAGAGGGGAGCAGTAATCGAAGTAAGGCTGCACAAGACTTTTATAAACAGATTCTAGGGTATGTCTAGGCAAGTTATATAACATTGTACAAATGCATTGCTTTATTTTGCACGTAGCCATTTTGCGATCGCAAATCATATAGATATTCGGATGTTGCTTCTGAATTTCAAAACGCAATTATCGATTTCCAATCCCAATCAGTTCTGCCACTGCTGAACGCTTATTCTGAGAGTGAGAACTGGAGTTCGGTGAACTATGTTGCAAGGACGGTTGGAAGCGTTACTTTTGATGGCTGTTGGACGCAGATTTTTAAGTCTCTGGACAAAAAGCGCATAATTGACGTGTTTGCAAAGGCGTCAATAGAACATTCTAAAGCACTTTTGTAAATAATTAACGTTTATAAGTCTTTTAGAAATCCTTTATCTATATTCGTAGAACAAGAAAACTCGAAACTATGTAAACATAATTTGTGCTGCACCCAGGAAACAGTATTGTTAACAATGTTATTGAAGCTTGTTGGATCATCAATGTTGTTGCAATCACGATGCAATGTTGTTGTAACAAGTTGCAACAACATTGATGATTCAACAAGCTTCAACAATATTGTTAACAATACTGTTCACAGGGTGCAGCACAACATTGTTCACTCCTGTTTTTAACAACTTGCATCAACATGATGATTTTTACGCGTGTAAACATCGGCGTGCATTCGACGCTAGCAAATACCGTTACGATACTTGATGTTATACGGCACGTAACGGGCCGTGCGTGTCCTCGTCTCTTGTTCACCAGTTCACTGCGATTGCTCGGATCTACACCGTATTTACTCGATTGAGCGCCGCCCCCGAATAAGCGCCGCATTTGCGATAAATTTTTCTTACAGAGCGCCGCCCCCGATTAAGCTCGCTGTCAAAATGGGGACATTTCGCTACATTTAACTTTCATCTCTCTTTGTTTAAAGTTCCTGTTACAATTTACAGATAATATTTTTTCAAGAACGCCGACCTCGATTAAACGCCGCTCTCAAATAAGCACCGCATCTGAAGTTCTAAAAGTTTATACAGCGCTCAAACGAGTAAATACGATATCTATAATCTACCAATTAGCATCGACATCAAGCAAGCTCAAATTAGTGGAAAACTGGTGCTGTTTTACGGTATTTCTGACCCCAGAACTTTTCCATTTGGTTGATCATGTCAAAGCAATCAAGCTATCATTTGCTGATGAAGACGAGAAAGAGTTCTGGGCAGACATATTTACTCGGCTTTTCAAAGCAGAAATGCTTGCAACTTCGCAAGCCAGGCTCTTTTACCTTGTCAAGCCTGGTCATGTGATGTGACATTGCGAAATCTCCCAAAATATGGGAAATTTTAATTAGCGCTTAGTTCATCTCTAAGGGAGGGGTGACAAATGCCAGTTCTGCTATTTTTAGCACTTGTCACAGTCCAGGAGGCTAACCAAGGCTTTGTACTACGGCTACGAAATATATACTAAAAATCGCGGTTCACACAAACTAAATAGTGAATTAGTAAATACTAAATAGTAAAATTTCAGAATCATCACAAGTTCTGTTGATATTCAATACAGACACTCGAAGGCCTGCCCTA